AACCTTTTACTGTTCAACTTAACATATTCACAGATTCTGGAATTAGGACATGGACATCCTTTGTTGTTGTTGTTGTTGTTGTTAAGTTGCTAAGTCCTGCCTGACTCTTTGCAACCCCATGGTCTGCAGCACACCAGGCTTCCCTTGTCCTTCACCATCTCCCAGAGTTTGTTCAAATTCATGTCCATTGAGTCAGTGATGCTATCTAACCATCTCATCCTCCGCCGCCTCCTTCTCCTTCTGCCTTCAGTCTTTCCCAGCATCAGGGTCTTTTCCAATGTGTTGGCTTTTTGCATCACATGGGCAAAGTATTGGACATCCCTGAGGGACCAGTATTCTGCTACTGCAGTCTGGAAATATATGGAGATTCTTCTTAGGGGAAAACTGATCAAAATTTTTAAAAGACAAAGAAAAAGAAGCAAGGGGTACTTAAATCTACAGACTTACTGCAATCCCTATCAAAATACCAGAGGCATTTTCCACAGAACTGGAACAAATAACTCCAGAATTTTTATGGAACCACAAAAGACCCTGATAGCCAAAACAATCATGAAAAGAACAAAGACAGAGGTATCATGCTCCCTGATTTTAATCTATACTTCAAAGATATAGTAATCAAAACAGTATTGTACTGGCACAAAAACAGACATATAGATCAATATAACAGGTTTGTATCAACAAAATAAAAAGCAGCCCACTGAATGGGAGGAGATACTTGCAAAAGATACATCCAATAAGGGGTTAATATCCAAGGTACTTGAAGAAATCATACAACTCAACATTTAAAAAAAAAAAGGAACAACTCAATTAAAAAATGGGCAGAGGACCTTAACAGACATTTCCCAAAGACAAATAGATGGCCAACAGATGCATGAAAAGATGCTCAGCATCACTAATCATCAGGGAAATGCAAATCAAAACCACACTGAGATATCACCTCACATGTCAAAATGGCTGTCATCAAAAAGGCAACAAATAACTAGTTTGACAAGGATATGGAGGAAATGCAAATCATCACTAAACTTATGAAAATAAGTTCAGCTCTCTCAGAGGTCAGGGAACTGAAATGCAAACTGCAGCAGCATCTCAGTTTTCATCCACCAGTGGACAGGTTTGGCAAAAGGCGGGTAACCCTCACATGTGGAGGAGGGCAGAGCAATCCACTCCAGTGTTCTTGCCCGGAGCCTGGCAGGCTACCATTGAAAAGGGTCTGACCGACTGAAGGGGCAGCACAGCAGGGCGCAGCATGGGGAACCCTCACAGCTGGAGTTGGGAGCTAGGACTCACGTACCCAGCTGGCAGGAGCAGGAACTGCTCCAAACTTTTGGGAACACAGTCTGGCAGGCTTTTTTTTTTTTTTAAATCACCATGTAGATTTTTAAGTTATTAATATTTGTCATATTTTCTTCAAAGCTTTAAAAAAGCTGTACAGATACTATCAAAGCTCTTGACCTGGTTGGAAGCACATACATTTGTTACCCTGTTGTACTATTTTTTATATTCTATTTTGCAGTAATTTTTAAAATTTTTGACAGAACTTATTGTTATGCTTGATGCACACATCTTCTGACCCTATTCCTCAGAAATGAAGGCTCCAGAATTTATGGCTATATGATTGGGCTTCTCAGGTGGCAGCAGTGGTAAAGAACCCACCTGCCAATGCAGGAGAATAAGAGACTTTGGTTTGATCTCTGGATTGGGAAGATCTCCTGCCGGCATGGCAACCCACTCGGTATTCTTGCCTGGATAATCCCCATGGACAGAGGAGTCTGGTGGGCTACAGTCCATAAGGTTGCAAACAGTTGGACAGGACTGAAGCGACTTTGCATGTACTAGAGATGTGCAGTGCAGCACTGTTTCAGAGGCAAAAATGTATAAACCATCTGAATATCCATCAAGCAGTAAATGATTAGGTAAATTCATAGATATTACTTTCACAGTAGGGACTACTATGCAGTAATTACATAAAATGAGTTAGATCTCTATGTATTGATCTGTGATGCCCACAAAATAAAAAGCAACTTATAATTTGTATAGTAGTGATTTTTCTATTTTATATTCATTTACATGTCTGTACATTTTTAAGAAATATCTCAATATGTGCATTTGCTTGAGTATGACCACTGGAGCACGGAGTCGAGATTCTCAGTCAGGGGCAACATTGCCCTCCAGGGGACATATGGTAACGGCTGAAGGCATTTTTGGAAATGTTAACCCACTCCAGTACTCTTGCCTGGAAAATCCTATGGATGGAGGAGCCTGGTAGGTTACAGTCCATGGGGTTGCAATGAGTTGGACATGACTGAGCAACTTCACAATGAACTATGAAGGCAGTTTTGGTTGTCACCACTGGGGAATGCTAATGGTGTAGATGCTGAGCATCCCCAGTGCACACAGGAAAGCACCTCCCCCCTCAACACCTGCAAACAATCTTCCAGTCCAAAATGCCAGCACAAAAGTTGAGAAACCCTGGCATAGAGAAAGGAAAAAAAGGATAAACATGAAACTATTAACAATCAACTTGTTCCTTAAAACATATATGTTTTTTGGTTTATTACAGTGAGTGTTTATTTTGACCTCTAAGAATTATCCTATAAAAATAAAAAATAATAATAAAAGTTTATTCTATGGCAAAGACAATGGAGCAGGAAGGAGTGGGAGATTGTTGCCCAAGCCAAGCTGTTTCTCAAGAACAGATCTAGGGGCAGGAGTGTAAACTCAGGGTGATGAGAGCTGGAGGCAGGAGGGGATGGGTGGGGATACCCTGGAGCCTGGCCCTGCCACTGGAGCTCACCAGCTTAGAGTGAACAATCCCAGGGCTTTTGTGAGTTGAACAGGGACCTGCAAAAAATGTCCTATGATTTGGAAAGCCTACTGTGAGAGGAAGAAACAAGCCTTAACTCTATTTCCATTTTATAGGCTGGAATAAACCATTTTATGATCAAGAACTGTAACATATCAGAAGGGAATTTCTCCCTGGTCTGCTGAGAGTTGAGTTAGCAGGTATTTCTTGGCAAAGAATGGTCAATTAAGGTGGGAAAACGAAAATAGCATTCTCTGCTGCAGGTCTAATCAGAGTCTTTAAGATACTCGTGTGTTCATCTCCAAAGGGCAGCTCTCAAACGCAGGACTTCCCTATCCTTCACACACAAGTTCATGCTCCGTCTCTAAGTCGTGTCCGACTCTGTTGCGACCCCACGGACCATAGCCACAAGGTTTCTCTGTCCACGGAATTTTCCAGGCAAGGATACTGGAGTGGGTTGCCATCTCCTCTTCCAGGAGATCTTCCCAACCCAGGGATCAAACCCTAGTCTCCTGCATCTCCTGCATTGGCAGGCAGATTTTTTTTTAAACCACTGAGCCATCTGGGAAGGCCTCCCTATCTTAACCAAGTCTTTTTAACTGAGAGCATCTTCTGAAACCAGGAATCCATGGAATACACTTCAGGAAATACTAACCTAGTCTAATCATAGTTTTACAGATTAGGAAATGGTGGCCAAAACAAAAAGTGACTGAGTTGGCTGGTGGGTTTCATCCCAGAACACTTGTTTTCCAGACCACTGCTTCTCCCCAACCCCAGCATTAAACATCTCACCATAGTTACAAATCAACTATAGATTCTTGGAGAACATTCCTAGGACTTAGGAATTTTTTTTCCACTTTAATTTGGTAGAGTTGCAGTGGGGGCAAGGGAGAAAGAATGGTGGAAGTCATTCAAAGCAAAACTCACCTTTCAATAGAATCAAGACATCTTTGGTCTTAGAGATTTTTTTTTATCCTTGATGGAGAGGCACCCATGAAGACTGTGCTCATGTGAAGGGATGCTCCGTCTGGTCCTTTTGAAAATATAACCTGCACAGGGCAGGTGGGAACACCTGGGACTTCAACCCTCCCCAGTTTACCTCAAGTTGATCTCCTTGGGCCAGGGGAAGCCCTACAAAACTGAATCTGTAGATTCTCTCCAAGAAATAAATTTACTAAAGTTTCCTAGATCCTCTTACATGCTGGGCCTCTGCAAGACACTGAGAATTCAAAGAAGAATAGAACATAATTTCTGCTCTAAAGGGTCGTTTTGTTTTGTTTTTTAAATCACTTAGGGAAACAGACACTGCATGTAGCCAGACTGGGACAGGGTTATACTGACCATGGGAATTAGGGCCTAGGAGCCCATGGAGGGCAGTGTTTACAAAGCCCACCCTAAGAAGCTTGCACACCCAAGCTCGTGGGCAAGGTCGGGGTGGGGGGGAAGCTATGGAAGATGTTTCCAGTTTTCAACGGAGAACTCCCGTCCTAGTACATTCTGGGACTCCATTACCATTAATAACTCCGTTTCCCGCGGAGGAATCTCGCTTATCCTCTTCTTAGTTAACAGCTTCCCGAGGTAGCCACCCCTTTACCCACATCACCAAGGGCTTTGGTTCTGGGTGTGCTGAGTCGCGTCAGCAGTGTCCGACTGTGCGATCCTATGGACTGCCATCCGCCAGGCTCCTCTGTCCATGGGCTTCTCCTGGCAAGAATACTGGAGTGGGTTGCTGTGCCCTCCCCCAGGGTTGGTTCTGGAAGGGGCCCACAACCTGGCCCTACCATCTTTCCCTTCCTCAGCCTCGCCTCAGGCCTGGATCTCATCACCTCAAAGCCACAGCTACAGGAAAATGATGCTAGGGCTGCGGGCAGATTCTGTCCAAGTTCTTATAGGTTGGGCCCACGTTCACAGTGACTGTCACACTGCCAGGAGACCCAGCATCACAATTTGCCTTCATCACAATTAATACTGTGGCCTTTGGGACGCTACTACTAAATGGGGACCACTTGATGTGTGGCAAGTATCCTGACAGGCACTGGCTTCACGTCTTCCATCAGCAGCCTCCACGTCGCCCGAGCACAACTGTCAGCCAAGAAGCATATGAACTACAGTGGGGCTGCCCCATTCGGACGACGACACTGAGTCTCACAGGCGCAAAACAAGTTGCACCCAACCTCAGCGTTAGCAAACGGCAGGTGCCCGGAAGCCTACAATTGAAACCGTTACTAGCCCCGCCCCTAACCGGCTGCACGGATTGGGCAATAAGGCAGAGTTGCGCAGGCGCAGCCTTTCCTGATGGCCCGCCCCGGAAAGGTCACGTGAGTAAGGCGGACACTGGGCCGGAAGGAAGCGGAAGGGGGAAAAAAAGCCCTCCCCCGGAAATCCTTTCTGTTTCAGGAGCCTGCTCCCGGAAGTGCTGGTGTTTGTAGCGGGCGTGATGGCGTCAAGGTTACTTCGCGGAGCTGGAGCTTTGGCCTCCCAGGCCCTGAGGGCCCGGGGTCCAAATGGAGTCTCCGTGGTGCGCTCTATGGCGTCTGGAGGTACTCGCCGGCAACGTGCGCCGTTGCCCTCCCGCGGTGGTGTTAGGTCAGCAAAGGCCGGGGTGGGGGAGACCTTTAATCTCCTCTGGACCCCAAAGGCCTGAGGCTCTGCGGACGTCTCCCTGTTATTCTCGACCGCAGCTGCTGCTGATCACCAAAGTGACCCGGCTGCGAAAAATTCCTAAACGGAGTTGCTGGGTGACCTTGGTGGGCAGGGTTTGCAACCGGGGCGTGGAGGGGCCAAGCCGCCCTTCAGACCTGCCCCGGTCTTCAGTTGGATGCACCCCACTAGGACTCTAATTAACCTGCTTTTGGGGGGAAAGAATTGCAGAAAAATCGGCCTCCGTGGTTGAAGGAAGAAAAGATCACCCCGTGTTCCACTTTTGGGTAACCTGACAGGTTCTTAGGGGACAGTGGGTAAGGGTAGACTGTGGGAGCCTATGGGCCCGCTAAAACTGTAAGCAAAAGTTGACCTATGTGCGTTTTCCCTCTTGATCATTTCAGCCGACATCAAAATTATTTTATTTTCTTTTAGGTGGTGTTCCTACTGATGAAGAGCAGGCGACTGGGCTGGAGAGGGAGGTCATGCTGGCTGCACGCAAGGGACAGGTGAGAAGAATGTTCTGTACCTTCTGGGAGAGTTCATTGCCTTGGATGGGATCAGAGCAGCCTCCTCTATGGGGAGCCTTCCCTCCAGGAAACCTGGCTTCTGGTACCAGTAGTGGTAGTCCCTGAGGGTAGGGATCATTTGTCATAATAAACCCTTTATTTTGTTTTTTTCAGGACCCATACAATATACTTGCCCCAAAGGCAACCTCAGGTACCAAGGAAGATCCTAATTTAGTCCCTTCCATCACCAACAAGCGGATAGTGGGCTGCATCTGTAAGTGCTTCTCTACTGTTTTCTCACCCTTTTGTTTGTTTGCTTATTCATTTTTTTGTCTGTGTAGAATGTGGGATCGTAGTTCCCCAACCAGGGATGGAATCCACGCCCCCTGCATTGGAAGCACAGCATCTTAACCACTGAACTGGCTGGGAAGTCTCTGTTTAAGTTTTTGGGTTTTTTTTTTTTAATATTTATTTATCTGGCTCTGCCAGGTCTTCGTTGTGACCGTCGGGATCTTTATTACCGTGTGTGAGATGTTTTAGTTGCAGCACACAGGATCTAGTTTCCTGACCAAGGATGGAACCCAAGCCCTCTGCATTGGGAGCACGGAGTCTTAGACACTAGAGCACCAGGAAGTCTCACCCATTTGTTTAATTTAATATCTGTTTAGTATGGAGGATGTCTATTAGTTTTTTCACATCTGTTGTCTGTGAATGTATATATGTAAAGATACGTGGATAAATGTTTTAAAGGTTTTGACCCTCAGGCTCCTTGCCAAAGTAGGTCACCCTCACTGTAAAGAGGCCTGGAACATCAATAATACTGCCTCAGTGGAGAGGTGGCGTGCAGAAATATTCATCTAGAAAATGCTGTACTTTCTCTTTGCCAGACACCACATCAGGCATTAGGTATACATGCCAAAATAGACCCAACTTTGGGGGTCTACACATGCAGGGAACTATGAGAACCTAATGAGGAACTGATAAAGAGGTCAGTTTACTCACAGGTAAACTTGGCCACAGTTCCTTCATCTGAAAAATGGGATCAGCTTGAACTGACCTTAAGGTGTCAACCATAGCTTTATTTGCATCTCAGAGGTACTCCAGGCAAGAATACTGGAGAATGGGTTGCCATTTCCTTCTCCAGGGGATCTTCCCGACCCAGGGATCGAACCCGGGTCTCCTGCATTGCAGGCAGATTCTTTACCACTGAGCCACCTGGGAAGCCTCGCTGACACTAGTGGGAAAGAAGGGTGAAGACACAGCCACTCTTTCAGCGTCGGAGGCAGCACAGCCACTCCCGTACCTGGCGTCAATTGACCCTCACGACTGTCCTGTGAAATGGACCTTTTTCTTTGTGTACTTAATTTCTAAAAATTCAGATATAATTCGCATACCATAAAATTCATTTCTCAAAGTGTACAATTCAGTGGTTTCTAGTAAATGCACAAGGTTTTACAGTCATTATCACTAATTCCAGAACATTCTCAAAAGTCAGTACCCATTAGCACTCACCCCCACTCCTCTTTCCCCCCTGCTCCTGACAACCACTAACCTACTTTCTGTCTATGAATTTGCCTGTTCTGGACATTTCCTATTTATTGAAAAACTATTTTTCCCGTTGTCTTTGTGCCCTGTTGAATATTGACCACTAATGTGTAGGGTTATTTCTGGACTCAGATTATGTTTCAGAGGTTCAGAGAGGTTAAGCTATTTGGCTAAGGTCACAGAGCTAATAAAAATACTGGGTCCACACCCAGCTCCTTAGATTTTGTCTAAAGTGCTGTGAGAATACATGATGGGGGGAATGATTAACTTCCCACCCCAGGAGGCAGGTGTCAGGACTGGTCCTAAAATCTCCAAAGGGAAAAAGCATAAAGGCCTTTGGGAAAACAGCAAAGAGTAAGTTGTGGTTGGAATGCCAAAGACTTGCAAGGGTATTTGACCTTCATTTTTCTGGGAGAAGGGGAGTCCCTGAAGGTTTGTTAGCAGGGAAGACAAGGAGAGGAAGGGGATGCTTGGAGGAGAAAGGTGAGTCTGGATAACTTGATTTTGCAGGCCCTAAAAAATCATGGGGTGCAGATGGGGATGAACAGGTTAGCTGGGGAGAGCAGGCTGGAAGCAGAAAGAAGGTTCCAGTGGGACATGAGTGATGCAAATAGAGCTGAGATCCAACCTCCAGCAGAGGGAGAAAAGCCAAGAAGATGCTGAAAGGCAAGGTTGAGGAAGCTTAATTTGGGGAGGCAAGGAGAAGGGTTAATAACAGGAAGGTGTCTATCAAAACAAGGTTTTAAAGAAGCTGGGGCTTGGCATATAGGAGGCCTATAGGACGACAGTTTCAGGGCACAGTGCAGTCAAGGCTGGTTGGGTGAGAACACGTGTTTGCTGATGATGCAGACAAAGGGAAGAAGCAGCTTGCCCAAGCAGTCTGGAACGAGAAGACAGATTGAGGGCACAGAGGCACGGGGCGGAAAAAAAGACTCCTGTCTCAGCATCCTTGAGGGCCAGCGGATGGTGCCTGATGCAGAGGAGAGGAAAAGTCTGGCAGGTGAAGGAACAGCCCTGGAGAGGAGAGACCCAATTTTTCCAAGACCAGAGGGCAGGGAAGAAGAGAGGGTCAAAGAGGAGAGAAGGGAGGCTGAGTGAAATACAAGTAGGCAGGGCTGGGGCTTCAGGGCAATGAGCGAAAGAACTGCCAAGCTCCTAACACCGGCGGCTCAGCCAAGGGCAACTGCCACAAGCCTGTCCAAGTGTATGACATTCTGCAGCCACCTTGGAAGCAGGAAAATAGACAAATGGTTGGGCAAGGGAGAAAGGAGCTGAGGATGTCGGTGACAGTGTGGTGGAATCTGAACGGGTTGTCCCAGCCGGAGAAGCAGGCTGGTCATTCCCTAGGTGATCCTCCAGATCCACCCTCCACCCCTCGCTCTGCCTGGGGAGCTGACCTCCATGGCTTGCATCAAGGGACTCTTAGCTGTGGTTGCCAGTGGGGCAGGGAGGAGGGTGGAAGGGGAGAGAGAGTGGACAAGAAAACTCCTCCACCCTGCCTGCTCTGCCTGGTTCTGGTCGGTGGCACAGCGCCCCCTGCTTCTGTAGCCTCACAGGTGCCAGTACCGCCCAGCCCAGCTGGTCAGAACATCCTACCGAGGCCTGCCCTGGTCCTCACCATCCCCTGGGGCTCCCTAAACCCTGAGCACCCTCTACACACTGGCAGATCCTGTGGGCAGGCCCAGCAGGAGGGTGGGAGGGGGAGGGAGAAAGAAGAGATGGGTGGAGAGGAAGAGAAGAACACTAGATCTTCCCTGCTGGGGTCAGGTTCCTCCCTGAAAGGATCGACAGAGCTCCGTGGAGTTGGCAGGGGAATCAGTGGGTGAGAGAAGGGTCCTGGGAGAGGGAAGGGCAGTAATTCACTTTTCTCCTGTGCAAGATGTCCTGTGCCTCCTGCTTTTGTTTCTTACACACACAGACACAAACACACACTAAATGAGAAGCCTCCTCAGATCCCTCTGAGCAGCAGTCCCAGCCAGGCCTCATGCTGACAGCGGTGCCAGACGACCCAATTTGGATTTGCAGCATCTATGCAAAAACATTTGTCTGACCTGGCTTTTCCTCCAGAAGGGTCCTGGGCCCTACAGCCTACCAGAGGTTCAGCCACTTTGTCACCTGGTCCTGAGGGCTCCAGGGCTCTGAGCTGTCTCTGGCTGCAGGATGGGGTGAACCCTCACACAGCGACTGTCGTCCCCCACTCCTGTGATAATTAAAAACTAGCCCTACCTCTGCTTTTGTAAGAGGTCAGGGCCTCTGTGGTCCAGTCAGAGCTGCTCTTTCTGATGATAGAAATGCAGATTAAGTCCTTTATGACCCCATTCCTTCAAGATTGTGTGAACATGGCCCAAGTGAAGAACAACCCCCTCTCTTCTGCTTTCCTGAGATGGATTCAAGGCAGAAGCCCTGTTCCATTCCCGGCTCCCCCAACACATACTCAGAGGCAACTGCTTGTATTGGTTTCCTGTGTATCCCTTCCAGAGTTCCTTTAGGTAAATATAAACAACTATGAATACTGATTTAAAATACTGATTAATGGTGAAAATTTTTATTGAAATACAGTTGCTGTATAATATTATACAAGCTATAGATGTATACAATATAGTGATTCACAATTTTTAAAGGTTATACTGCATTTACAGTTGGGCTTACCAGGTGGCGCCAGTGGTAAAGAACCCGCCTGCCAATGCAGGAGACAAAGAGACACTGGTGTGCTGCCTGGTTGGGAAGATCCCCTGGAGGAGGGCATGGCAACCCACTCCAAAAGACTCCCATGGACAGAGGAGCCTGGTGAGCTACAGACCATAGGGTCATAAAGAGTCGGACATGATTGAAATGACTTAGTACACATGCAGCATTTACAGTTATAAAATATTGACTATATTCCCTGGGTTGTACAATATATCCTTATATGTTATTATGTATAATCTCCTCCCCCATCTTGCCCCTCCCTCTCCCCCCACCACTGGTAATCACTAGTTCTGTATATCTGTGTCTGCTTCTTTTTTGTTTTGTTTTTTTTTTCCATTTATTTTTATTAGTTGGAGGCTAATTACTTTACAACATTGCAGTGGTTTTTGTCATACATTGAAGCATGAGGCCGCCAAAGCACTGGAGCCTCAGCCTCAGCACCAGCCCCTCCAATGAACACCCAGGACTGATCCCCTCCAGGACGGACCGACTGGATCTTCCTGCAGCCCAAGGGACCCCCAAGAGTCCTCTCCAACACCACAGTTCAAAAGCAGAGTTTTGTTGTTTAGTTGCTAAGTCATGTCCAACTTTTTTGTAACTCATGGACTGTTGCCTGCCAGTTGCCTCTGCCCATAAGATTTCTCAGGCAAGAATACTGGAGTGGGTTGCCATTTCCTTCTCCAGAGAAAAGCAAAGTAGCCATATTTAATTAGACAATTTCTAGATATGAGACCACTGTGCATCCTACTACAAATTATAAATTTTTAAGACATTTTTCTGAATTTTTAGTTGTTATATAGAAATAAAAGTTATTTTCTATTTTGAAAATGCTCTCTCCTTTACTTTTCTGATTCTCTTTTTAAAATACATTTTCTTACCTGTACCATTATTATGCTGTAATTACTTATGAATATATATAAAATCTTTTCTAATCATAGGTTCTTTGAGGGCAGGACTCTGTTTTATTCACCTTTGAATTCTCCCCAGCACCTGGACTACACAGTAATCTTGAATAGTAATCTATTATTTTATTTATAGTGATCACTGTTTTATGAATACTTCATATGAACTTCTCCTGAAATTAAAATAATGTCAGACTCATTTTTTTTTCAAAGGGAGATTTAAGATTTTTAGTTCTTCCTGGATCTTTAGCTATGTTATAGCTATTTTCTTTTGTTTAAATCTTACGCATGTATACTAAAGTTAGTGGAAAAATGAAGTGAAGACCTCATTTTCTTAATCAATACGATCTTGGGTGGCCTCAGCCTGCAGGGGCTTGAAGTGGGGCTTCAGCTCCTGGCCAGAGATTGAGGGGGGGCCATGACAGTGAGAGCACCAAATCCTAGTCACTAGATTAGGGTCTGATCCTAACCACTAGCCACTAGACCAGTAGTCAGTGACAAGGCCCTCACCCTTCAGCTTTGCAGAAAAGAATTTCCACAAAGATGGAAAGTAGTGAAATGAGCAACGCATTTTTTAGGAGGAAAAAGAGTACAGTACGTGTGGATGGACACAGGGCCAGCCTCAGAGAGTCGCTCTCTTGCAGCAGTTTAAATAGCATTTATGGGGCATTTCTCCAGGTTTCCGTGGGCCAACCATTTTGATTTGCCTGGTTCTGAGTCTGTATTTGGTACAGCTCAGGATCCTCTAGGAGCCAGCAGCAGCCCATGGGGTCACAAAGAGTCGGACACGACTGAGCGACTAAGTACAGCACAGGGTCCGTCCGCGTGTGCGCATGCGACTCTCAGCCGGGACAGCGTCCAGCGAAGCGGCCTGCAGGTGTTTGGCATCATTTCCCTTTGACCTCCAAGAAGCTTTCAGGTCAGGCAGTTCTCCTTGACTTAGATAAATATGTGATCTCTTCTCTCTTTTCTAGGCAGGGCTCAGCCTCCTCTCTGGAGTGTCCTGTTGATACTTTGGAGTTGCTGTCCACCGGGAATGAACTCCCACTGCTCACCCTGGGAGGAGTGGGCATCTACCTTCAACTTCACATTCATTTGTTGACGGACACTTAGGCTGCTTCCATATTTTTGCAATTGTAAATAATTATGCTGTTATGAACATTGGGTTGTATATTTTTGAATTAGTGTGATTTTTCCTGATATGTGCCCAGGAGTATCATCCCACTCAGGTGTACCCCTGAAGCATCAAGGATACCTCCATTACAGTTGATTACACTACGGGATAATTATCTTTTTGCATGTGTTTTGCATCTCGGCAGCCAAGGCATGGTAGGTGCTCAGTGTTTATTGAATGATTGCTGAATGGACGAACACATTACACAGGACAATTATTTATGTGTCTTTTGCTGCACCTAGTTTTTGAAAACCTAATTCATTTACTCATTTTGTTATGCAATGTCCTTGTATAAAACCCCACATGAGAAATTACTCCTGGAGTGGAAAATAAGAGAAAAACTTATTTCCTTTGACCACAGAGACTGTGTATTATATAGAGAAGCATGTAGCCCTTCATCTTCCCACACTTTTGTTCTTGCTTCCAAGAGCTCAAAGACAGATTTAATTGTCATTCACATAATCACATTAGTCCCCTTGGCCACACTTGGGTCTTCCTCCTCTTTGTGGTTTTGATTTTTAATCTTTTCTCTAATAACTTTTGAAATCAGCTAGTATAGTGTGGAGGAAGAGGTATAGGCTATGGAGTCTGATCTACTAAGGCTTCCCTAGTAGGTCAGACAGTAAAGCATCCACCTGCAATTCAGGAGACAGGTTCGATCACTAGGTCTGGAAGATCCCCTGTAGAAGGAAATGGCAACCCACTCCAATATTCTTGCCTGGAGAATCCCATGGACAGAGGAGCCTGGCTGGCTACAATCCATGGGGTCACAAAGAGTTGGACACGACTGACACACAGTAACTAGCAGCTGTATAAAACTTGGGCAACTCATTTAACCTCCTGGAACTTCCAAATCCCCTTTTGCAGGATCCTTAAAAAGGATTAAATTACAACCCATATCATGTATGCAGCAACTACTAGAGGATCAATAAATGATAATTACATGAAGTAGAAGCCTTGGATGAATAAAATAATGGAAAGTGTCACTCCAGGATGGCCTTTGAAAGACTAAGCAGCTACTCACATGGCATAACTTGGAAAGAAGCAAGGCCAGCTTCCTTGAGTCAGTCCCATTACTAGGGTCACTATTCAAAGGACTCTTAGGAACATGGTTTTTTAACTGGGTTAAGAGATCAAACCACTAGAAGGAGGCGTGCACAGCAGGTGGTCCCATGGGGTAGGGCCTAACGGAACAGAGATTTCAGGGAGAGGAGATGGAAGAAGAGCAGGAGGCAGACAGGGAGGGGAGGCCTCTCAGCACAGTAGGGCTGCTGCTTCCCCACCCATCACACCCTGGCCCCAGAATAGGGGCTCCCACAGAGTATGGGCTTCCCCAGAGTTCCAGCAGCAGCTCTACCACCATCTTGTCTTAAAAACCATGCCAGGGGATCATTTAAATAAGTTATTTGTGATGCCTAACTAAAAATCAGTCCCCTGGAAGAGCAGGCTGTGGGTTTTAACTGATGACAGAACTGGCAGAGGATAAAGAGGAATAATGTGTAAATGGCTCAGCTCAGTGCCGGGCACTGGGTTGGGGCTCAATCCATTGTTGAGTGTGAATCTGAGGGCCGACATCCTCCAAAGTGCACACGGATACTCATACACACTCAGACACATGTGAGGAATCACAACGTGGTTGGTGGTTATGAGCCGAGTGTTCTCAACACACCAGGCCTGTGGGGTCTCACAGTTTAAAAAGGACCAAAAAGGTGGGAAAGGCAGGTCTGTTCTGGAATGAAATCTTGAAGCCACCTCCTTCTGTCCGTGCGCCTTTGGCAAGTGGCCCTCTCCCCCTGGGCCTCGGTGTCCTCAACCGTAAAATGGAAGCCGTCGTGCCCCGGGGATTTAGCGACTTACTCCGGGATTTGCCTGAGGGGGCGGGGTCTGAGTAGGAGCAGCGGGAGCGAAGCAGGCGGTAGCGCTGAGCCACCAGGCAGGCGCGCACCCTAGAGGGCGCGCACGTGACGCGCACGTGGCGGGACTGCGCATGTGTGTTGCAAGTGGCGGGGTGAGGGGGCGCCGAGGGCAGCCATCGCGGAGCCGGAAGCGAGGGGCTGTTGCTGTGTCCAGGTCAGCGCTGGGCGCGGGGAGGCCCTGGAGACCCGCGCCTTTCCCCACCCGGCCCGCCGGTCCCCCGTCCTCCACCCCCACCACCCTAGAGGCCTCTACCCACTCCCTTTCCCCAATAGCTGGCCGGGTCCCCTGCCAGCACCCGCGCCCTCCCGAGTCCCGCCCTGCCAGGCCTCCATGGTGTGGGCTCCCTGTGTGGCCTTCGGCCCTGTGACTCAGGGGTAGGCTGGTCAGCTCCATTTAACAGGTGAGGAAACTGAGGCTAAGGATCCTCAAGCGGCATGGCAGCCGCAGTACCCACCCCCAACCCCCGCGAAACCACAGTAGTTCCCAAGCCCAGTGTTGGTCAGCTCTCCTCCTGTCTTGTATTTTCATGGATTCCTTTGTTTTACGGGTGTGTTTGTGTTTGACTCTGATCTGTTTATAGGGATTGCCTCTACCAAGACAGGCCAGGCCCTCCTCTCCCCGGGTGGCGCAGTCGCCAAGCCATGGTTTGCTCTGTTAGGGGTGGAAATTTCTTCAGACTGATTTGGAATCAGTTTATGTTTTGATTTGATGGTTTGTTGTTGTTTGCTTGTTTTTCATGTTTCCCAGGGCACAAAGGGTCACTGTTGTTTTTCTTTCCAGAAAGGCTTTCTCTTCCCAGCCTGTTCCCAGTTTGATGGATGTGTGGTTTACGATGCTGTAGACTCTTTGGCTTTTCTTTGTGGATAAAACTCATCTTGCTTCATCTTTCCCATTTTGAGCTGGGTCCTTGCTGATGGCAGCCTCTGCCCTGACTTAACATTCCTGAGCTATTAAATATTTGTTTAAAAAGACAGATATAAAGCATGGTGCTAGGAATATGGCATCTTGAAGAAGTGATCTTCATAAGAAGCACAGTTATATTCTGAGTTAATCTTGGATCTCTTTATATACCAAAGGCTCAAAACACTTTGGTACCTATAATTATTTGGCCTGGCAGTCACGTTTTAAGACAGATTGTTTTATTTTTCTTGTAGCCTGGAAAGTAAAAGAACAAAAAGAGTGAGGTGATGTGCTGAAATCACACATGAGAGCATGCTGAAGAGTAGGAGAGGCTGGGAACAGAGGCCAAACATTAAAAGCTTTGGGCTTGGGTTTGAAGGACTTGGGGAGGCACTAAGCCTACAGTGGGGTGTGTTTGGAAGATGGAACCCCAGTTCCTAGGCTGGACTGGGGAGGAGAGAACATGGCTGGACCAGGGACTCATGCTCTAAGATGATTTCCTTTTAAAAACATTTATGTCCTTAGTTGTGGCATGCAGCATCTTCGGTATTCGTTGTAGCATACAGTGTCTTTAGCTGCAGCACGTGGGAGCTTGTTACCTTACCAGGGATTGAACCCAAGGCCCCTGCCTTGGGAACCTGGAGTCTTAGCCACTGGACTACCAGGGAATTCCCTAAGATGGTTTTCTTAACCTGGAAAGAAAATGTGTGAGAACGAGGAGGAACAGGCCCTGGATGTTGGGTGGTTGGGGCTTGGGAGGGAGACAACAGAAGTAAAGTTCAGGCAGTAAGTGTGTCTCCCTGTTTGACTGGCGCAGGGCCCTGACATCATAGCTTTTGTTCCCCCGTGCGTTCCTGTCTCGACACCTAGTACGCAGTGCTTGGAGCCTGTTGACTAACCATAATTATCCTTTTAATTGATTCTGGAATGCATCTTTGTTCACATTTTCACAGCTCGATGTTGAGCTGGGTCCCATGGTGGATGATGACATCCTTTGTGCCATCGTTCACTTGGCAGCTTTTTATGTTTCTTTGTTGAACAGAAAGTCATGGTGCTTTTCTGTTTTTTAGGCACACCGAGCAACACTTGAGATCTTAGTTCTCTGACCACGGAGACCAGGGATCAAACCAGTGCCCCCTGGTTTGTCTCAACCACCAGACCACCAGGGAAGTCCCCACAGGGCATTTAAAATCAGAGTTATCTTAGCTCCGATGAGTTGCAGTTTTCAGAGTTGGAGATTCAGGCCGAAAAAATGACCCCTTGTTAGACTGTACCATGGCTCATTTCTTCATTGAAGATGCTGATGTTTTTAAGGAACTGCAGGGAGGGGGTTGCTAGAAGCCAGGAGCAACAGGCACAAGCGTGAAAATGTATTACTTTGCTGGTTGGAGAGGAAAGAAACAGCCGGTGGCTGTGTCTCCTTTATAGGGAAAGTCGGACTGCTGTACAGCCACTGGCAGTGCATTAGCTTGGAGTGACAGGTGTTTTGCGGCAACCAGGCTTAGCTGCCCATTGGGCAGGTGGCCCTAGCCCACGAGCCTGCTCACAGCCAGCCAATCTGAATACACCTGTTGGGGCAGTGGGGCCCAGGCTCCATCATCTGCTGGAGTCTTGGTGACCCTGGGTTTGTCTCTTGGCAGTCACCTCCCACTGCTGCAAGTTCAAGGGCAGAGACCTTCTCTTCCCCTTCTTTGATGTCTGAGGGCTCAACACAAGGCCTGATGCATCAGACATGCTAAATTGGGTTTGCTGAGTGGAACTGTACTGGACACGTTGGGGCAGGTTGTCTTCCAGCGCCCAGGTCAGCCTTCATCCCGTAGGAATCATGTTCTGAGCCAAGACTCTGTTCACGGTCCTCAGTCCTCCGTGCAGCTACTTTGTGGGTTGCTGAGTTTGTGAGCTAACCTGGAGGCTGTCTTTCTCTCCAGCCCTCATCTTTCTTATTTCTAACCCTCAGCTTTCAGAATGAGCTTTTGGGACTTCTTAGTCCACTTACGGGCTTCCCTGGTGACGCAGCAGTAAAAGGAAAAAAAAAAAAAAACCGCCTGCCAATGCAGAAGAATTGGGTTGGATCCCTGGGTCAGCAAGATCCCCTGGAGAAGGAAATGGCAACCCACTCCTGTATTCTTGCCTGGAGAACCGCATGGACAGAGGAGCCTGGTGGGCTACAGTCCATGGGGTTGCAGAAAGAGTCAGACATGACTTAGCGACTAAAAAACATAATGAAAGTCCTCTTATACATTTTAGAACCTGCTTCTGTGTCAGCTCGCTTGGTGACTTTGTCGCCAGAGAGCCTGACTAGTTAAACCGCAGAAGAGCAGGATTCCAGCTGGTGTAGCAGGTTGTCTGTGCTGGGTTTGGTGTTTGAGCAGATGAGCAGGTCCTAGCCTGGGGAGAGCTACAGACAGGAGTGAGACTGTCCTGGAAACATGGGCCAAAGTTCATCTTCTTCCTTGTCTTCAGAGAAGTCATGAGCTGACCCCAGGGCCCTCCAGATCTGCCCACCTTGATACTGCCCCCACCCCATGTCCTGGGTGACCTTGTGTGCGTCTTCTAGAATGAGATGCTTTGAGCATGCCAACCTTCTTTTCTCAGCTTGCACCAGGATTGTCTGCAGGTGGCTTGTACAGAAGTGGAGACTTTGAGGAAAGGTGATCTCTGTCTTCTTTGGCTGCCTTTCGGGCCTTCAGGGGAGGCTTACACTTTGCCTGAGAATGCAGCCACCTCCGGTGCCACCACCAGTTTCCCGGGGTTTTTGTTTGTTTTGTTTTGTTTTTTAATCTTTGAAGGGGACTCTGAGGATGTTTTAGTGGTAAGTGTCTGATGATGGAAGAACTGACTCATTGGAAAAGACCCTGATGCTGGGAAAGATTAATGGCAGGAGGAGAAGGGGACAACAGAGGATGAGATGGTTGGATAGCATCACTGACCCTATGGACATGAGTTTGAGTAACCTCCCAGAGTTGGTGATGGACAGGAAAGCCTGGTGTGCTGCAGTCCATGGGGTCACAAAGAGTTGGACATGACTGAATGACTGAACTGTCTGATGATCTTCCAGTTTCCATTTGATTTGTGAGAAGTACTGGTTATTACTGTGGGCTTCCCTGGTAGTTCAGTGGTAAAAGAATCTGCCTGCAATGCAGGAGACACAGGAGACTTGGGTTTGATCCCTGGGTCAGGAAGAGCCCCTGCATCCACTCTAGTATTTTTGCCTGGAGAATCCCATGGACAGAGGAGCCTGGTAGGCTATAGTCCATGGGGTCAGAAAGAGTCAGACACGACTGAAGGGACTGAGCACACTGCACACACAGTGGTTGTTACTGTAAGATCTTTGCAAAATGTGAAGTCGTTAAAAACAAGCAGTAGTTTTCAACCAACCCCTTAAAAATTGAGATGAGAATCATCAATTGATGCTGAAACTAGGAAGTGAAAGTATGATGAGAAAGAGGGTGTTTACATAGTCTCAAAGGATCTTCTCATAAGATGTTGATTAATTACAGCAAAAAGAAAATGGTGATATGGTGGTGGAGATACCTGGCAGATATCAGTTTCGCCAGGAGATGAAAGTTATTAATAGCAACATCAGTAATGGAACAAATTGACATCTGTGCGTTCTGATGTGAGGCTCTGAAAAGGACATACCACTGCATCTGTATGTTCCTGCCCCAGACATATAATCTGAATCCAGTCATGAGAAAGTGTCACATAAACCCAAATGTATAGAATCTACAGAGTAGTCAGTACTCTTCAACGGTGTGAAGATCATATAAGTACACACACACATGCATGCACACATGTTAGAGGTAGTGATAAAGCAAACATAATGAAATATTAACATTGAAGGGATTTGGATGCAGGTCATGTGGAATTCTTCGTCTCGTTCATTTAATTTTGGCTGCGCTGGGTCTTCACTGCTGCACTCGGGCTTTCTCCAGTTGCGGTGCACAGGCGTCTCCTTACGGCGGCTCCTGTTGCAGAGCAAGGGCTTCAGGCACGTGGGCTTCAGTAGTTGCGGTGCACGGGCATAGCTGCCCTGAGGCCTGCAGGATCTTCCCAGACTAGGGATCAAACATGTGTCCCTTGCACTGGCAGGTGGATCCTCAACCACTGGCCCGTCAGGGAGGCCCCACCCATTCTACCTCTTGGTAATCGTTTGACCTTTTCTAACACAAATGAACATAACTATTCCTGTGGCCCATCAATTTGACACCTAGGTGCATTCTCAACAGAAGTGCGTGTGGCTGGGTGTGAGGGTATGTGACTGTGTGTGTACAAAATGCAAGTGTAACCATGTTCATGGAAGCATTATTCATAGTGGTCAAAACCCGAAAACAATGACTATGTCCGTCTGGAGTAGAAGAGTTGAGCCTGTATTCATACAATGAAACACTGCAGAGCAATGAAAACATGACACGGAACAAAACAAGCCTGACACAAAAGAATCCACCCTCTGTGAGTCATTTACCCATTATTCAAAAAACGGGCAGACAAATCTGTGGTGTTGAGCAGAGGATGGCGTCCTGAGTGGGAGGGAGTGTGAGGAAGGCTCTGGGGTGCTGGCATATGCTATTTTCTGGACTTGCGTCGTGGTTACCTGGGCTTGCCTGGTGGCTCACTGGTAAAGAATCCGCCTGCCAATGCAGGAGACATAGGTTTGATCCCTGGGTCGGCAAGATCCCCTGGAGAAAGAATTCTCTGGTATTCTTGCCTGGGAAATCCCATGGACAAAGGAGCCTGGTGGGCTGTAGTCCATAGGGTCTCGAAAGAGTCGGACACGACTTAAGCAACTAAACAACAGCAACAACAACATGGTTACCTGGGTGTGTTTACTTGGTGAAAGTTCATCAAGCTGTATTCTCACTGTGGTTCCCTTTTCTGCATGTATATTGTCCATTCAAGTTGATTCATTTGATTTGTGCCTAGCATGTACACAGTATGATATGCAATGTTTGATACATTGCATATCACGAAGGACTGAGCTGTGCCCATCTCCCCCTCAAATGCTTGCATTGAAGCCTTCACCCCCAATGTGATGTTATTTGGAAATGGGAACTTTGGGAGGAAATTAGGGTTAGATTAGGTCATGAGGGTGGGACCCTATGCTGCAATTAGTGACCTTAGCAAAGGAAGAGACCAGAGCCCACACTTAGGTTCACTTTCTCTCCCACTCCCTGTCCCATGAGTCCATAAAAGAGAGGTCAAGAGAGATGGCAGTCCTGCCGCAAAGCTCAAGAAAAGCCCTTGGAATGCAACCTGCTTTGCCAGCACCTGGATCTGCCACTTCTAGCCTCCAGAGCCGTGAGAAATAAATCTGTGGTTTAAGCAACCCCCCAGCCTATGGTATTTTGTTAAGGCCGCCCAAGCTGACACATAAATGTACAATAGCATCGACCACCTAGTTTGTTTTTTTTTTCTTTTTTCTTTTGACTGCACTGCGTCTTTGTGGTGGTGTGTGGCTTCTCTTGTTGCACGCGGGCTCAGCGGCTGTGGCACTCATTCTCTAGTTGTGATGTGTGGACTCTCTCGTTGCAACCAGTGGGCTTAGTTGCCCTGAGGCATGTGGGAATCTTAGCTCCCCAAACAGGGATCGAACCCACATCCCGTGCATTGGAAGGGAGATTCTCAACCACAGGACCACCAGGGAAGTCCACCTAGTTTTATGAGCTTCCTTCTGGGCTTGGCCCTGGGCTGGGCACTGGAGTATGGAGATGAGATTTCCTCTGTGCACTCAGGTGATGCAGGAAGAGCAAGGACTCCCCACCCCACCCCACCTCAATGTGGGGGTGAAAGTGCAGTTTCCTCACTTATCAGGATGGCCCACCCCTTGGCAACCGCATCATCTTCCCATCCAGAGCCCTGAACTGAGCTCTCAGGGACCAGAGTGAGCTGCTTGTCATGATCTTAAAAGTGGAATGGCTGAAGCCAGTGACTCTGGACTGGAACAAAGGCTGTGCTGTCTCTCCTAAACTTAGTGAGCTCTGCATTGTTAGGAAGACACAGAAAGCACTTGTGCTCAGAAAAGAAACCGATTTGAAAGGGAGAACATAGCCTCCCACTCCACCCCTTCACCCCCCAGCCCCTCATTGCACACAGCTTTTTATGTGGAATTGGTCTCCTTGTATCAGCAGTTTCTGATTCTTTTTATATTTTATCTTATCATCTCCATGGACTTCTGAGCACCAAAGCATTTGCTTGGTTTGGGGCAGTTTTCTTGTCATTAGATATTATAATGCAGTAACTCTGGAAATAAGAGTTCGCTGTTGCCATTGGCTGTGAGTGGTAGTGTTCATGTAATGACTTTTCAAAACTATTTTTGTAAGTGAAAGTTGCCCAGTCACGTCCGATTCTCTGTGACCCCATGGACTATACAGTCCATGGAATTCTCCAGGCAAGAATACTGGAGTGGTAACCTTTCCCTTCTCTAGGGGATCTTCCCAATCCAGGGACTGAACCCAGGTCTCCTGCACTGTAGGCAGATTCTTTACCATCTGAGCCACCAGTGAAGCCCAGAAGACAATTATTTTGTTGTATGTGATCACCAAAGTCACTGTTCCTTTAGCTTTATGGCCAGCTGGCGATTTTATAGATTTCCAGAAATGCCTAGAGCCCAAACAATGACGAAACTCTTCCAGGCTCTGCAGATTGGTTCTGAGATGGAGTCTCCCTTTGACACTTAGCCAGGCCTTTGGTAACTCTGCCTCACCCTTCACTCCCTGATTATGTGGAGCCTAATGAGCAGTCTCAGTGGTAAAGAGTCTGCCTGCCAATGTAGGAGACACAGGTCTAACCCCTGGGTCGGGAAGATCTCCTGAAGGAAATGGCAACCCACTCCAGTGTTCTAGCCTAGAAAATCCCACGGTTAGAGGAGCCTAGTGGGCTATAGTCCATGCGGCTGCAAAAGAGTTGGACACAATTCTTTTGTTGTTGTTGACCAAACAACAATAACAACAATGAACAGAGATGAAAGCTTATCGGTTTCTCAAGCCTTTCATTGGCATGTCTTAGTTCTGGGCATGCATGTGGCTTTCTAGACACTCTGCTTTACATGGAGACTATTTATTTATTTTAGAAATTTGGAATACTTTTCTGTTTGGAATTTTCTCATTTTCTCTCTCTTGCTCTCTCTCTCTCTCTCTCTTTTTTTTTTTGTTAACTTATATTTTAGTTATTAATCCGGTTTTTTTTTTTTTGGCCATATGACACTGGCATGTGGGATGTTAGTTCCAACACTGGAGATCGAACCCATGCCCCCTGCGTTGGAAGTGAGGCCTCTTAACCCCTGGACCACCCGGGAAGTCCCATGGGAACTTTTAAAACTTCTTTCTCTCTCCGTCATCTCCTTCCCAGCCCTTCATTTTCCGGCCGCTCGGTCTCTCTGGCCGCTTGTGCCGCCTGTCAGTTCCCTGCCCCGGTGGCTGAGACTGGTAGATTTATCTTGGCATGACTTCAACAGATGCCACCCAGGACACTCCAGCCCTAAGACAGTTCCAGTGGGGGAATGAGTGTACACCAAAAGCAAGGCCCTGAGTTGATCCTTTGGGGAGCTGCAAAACAGGTCAAAACACACAACCACCGTTCTTCAAGAACAAAGTTTGTGTTGCCTCGCTGGCACCAGCAAGCCACACCACTAATGCCGCCCCCACCACTGCCCCTGAGCTGGGAGCTGGGGGTGTTGGGAAGGTCAGATCAAAAGGCAGATCACAGACTTACATCTAGCAGATCCTGCTTCTTTAAACACCCCCCTCATCATTGTTAGTTTTTTATTAGATTTCAAGAGTTCCGTAAGTGTTGGTCCTGACGGGTTTTTCCAGCTTAATTATTGCATTTGCGGAGGGACAGATTTCCAGGGTTCCTGACTGCCTGATTTGAACATCTCGCAGTGATTTTTGTATTGTTCGATTACTCTAGAAAGAATACTCCAGTTAGACAGTGCTAACAGTCATGCATGTCTTCATGGCCATGCCAGCATTTGTTGTTACAAATTTTTAAGTTTTTGATTGTTTTCTTATTATTGAATAATACTTCATAGTCATATTGATTTGGGTTTCTTTTATTATTGTTGAGTTTGAACCCTTGTTGAGTGAGTGAGTGAGCTTTTTTTGTAAACTGTCATTTCCTTTGATCATTAGTCATTCAGACATTAGCCTTTCATCTGTGTTTCAGGTTGTCTGAGCCCAGGCCTGCCGTGATGAGAGATGTCTGTGTATGTGGCTAGGTCCACCTTAGCTGAGGACAGGCAGCTGCTAACACAGGAGGAGGCTTATTGGAGCCCCGGGGTCTCTTGAAATCATTCATTCATTCATCCAACAGAAATGCACCTAGCCTACCATGTGCCAGGTCTGTGCTGATGCTGGGGAGATGGCAGGGACCAGACAGCCCTGTCCAGCCCCCTCTTAACAAACAGCCTCACAGGGGTGACTCCAAGCAAGCAAAATGCACAGGATGTCGTTTCGTGTTTATTTTTTGGCCATTTTGCGTGGTGTATGGGGTCTTAGTTCCCTGACCAGGGATCCAGCCCACGCTCCCCGCATCAGAAACACAGGGTCTTAACCACTGGCGCCATCAGGAGAGTCCCGGTATATCGTTTTAGGATACGGCCTTTCCTCGGGGCTGTGCTGGTTTTCGTTTCATACAGGTTTTAAAAATGTTGATGTCTGTACACTTGGCATCGTGTCCTTGAAATGAGAGGTTGGGTGGAGCCTCCTTGATCTGAGCAACTTGATGTTCGTGGAGCATGTGCCGGGTCCTTGGCGTGGAGCTGGAGGAGGGCAGTTCCTTCCCGGGCACCCAGGGGCCCAGGGCCTTCCTCTCAAGCGCTCGGCCCTTTTGAAGGCTAGCCTCACCTGACAGGTGGTTCCTTCCAGGATAAAACTCCCAGTGGCTTGCTGATGGCCGGGCCCGAGAAGGCGGTGCTAGACCTTCCTTGGAGAGAAGGTAGGTATCTCTCACCTGTGCAGGTGGAGCCCTTATGAGGTTTGGGGCCACGAGGGAATGGGAAACCCAATTGATAGGCTCCCCTTCCTTGCTGCCCGCTCCTCGGTTGGAGTGGCCCGGGGGCTGGGAAGGTAGTGAGCCACTGGGGACACCGCAGCTCTCTGTCCCATCCACAGACGTCCAGGCCGCCTCCACCAGGCCCATCCTCCTGCCTAGCCTGAAGGGCAGCTGCTTTGACCATCCCCTGTATCAGGGGCTTCTGCACCCCACCTGGCATCTCTGCAGTCCCACCTCTGCTCCAGCCCCCAAGTCGTCAAAAAAGCCCAAGATGCAAGCCGCCAGGAACACGTTCCCCAATGACTGGAGCCCGCCGCCTGTGGAGTTCCTGAACCTGAGGATCCCACAGGCCAACTCGGGGGACCCAGCCCCAAGGCCTCGGGGCCTGAGGAGGCTGGCTCACCAGCACCCCAAGGTGTCAGAGCAGGAGCCCCAGGACCTGGATCGACTAGGAGGCCTGGCCTCACTGGAGGAGCCATTCTGGACCATGGCAGGGACCAGCCCAGAGGCTGCACCTCCTGGGATGGGTGCCCACACCTCGGTAAGCCGGGGGCCTCCCCTCCTTGCCACCCCTCTCTGGCCACTTCTCCAGAGTCATCGCAAGGCCATCTCCTCGTGGCCACTCCTCTTCAGCCACACCCCAACTACCCTCCTTCCGGCCCCTCCCCTTGACCACGGCTTGTTCTCCACACCCTCTGACCTCTCCCCAGCCCCTGGGCCCTCGTGACTGGGAGCTTGGGCCCCCGAGGCTGGGCTGTCTCCCCTTTTATTTCTGCCCCTAACTCCTAACAGAAATGCTTGGGGTGGTGCGGGGACCCTCAAGGCTTTCGCAGCCAAGGTTGAGGTCATGGATCTGGGCTAGGTCAGGCACAAAGCCTCAGGCTTGTGGTCCAGCGACTTGGGAATTCCAAAGTGGAAACTTCAGTGATGAACTTCAAACTGGGAAAAAAACGTGGTTGCTGGGAAGACTTTGGGGACATTTGAGCACCAGTAGATCCAGGAAATGTATTCTAAGAATAGGACCTATTTATTTGTAATAGCCCAAGATTGCCAATAACCAAGATGCCTATCACTAGGGAACTAGTAAATTGCATCATTTTCATACTTCAGAATACCACGGAAGTGGTGTCTTTTTTTTTTTTAATTATCTCCTTAGTATTGATATGGAATGACCCTGAAGACATACTGTTAATTGAAAATCAGAGCTCAGTACGGAATAGCGGGTGTACTACACTACCATTTGTGTTGAAGGAGAGTCTGATGCATTCCTGGTTGCTTCTCCGTGTGAACAGGGTCTCCAGCAGTGGACACCTGAGGTCACCTTGGGGAGGGCCCCGGGGGCCAGGGGTGGAGGTGAAATGAAGTCCTCATGCTGTGCACCCTTATGCTTTCCGACGGTTTTAATCGAGCGAATGTACTGCCTGTTCAGAGAAGTAAGCTAAATAGAGGGCTTAACATTGATCAGTCTTTTCTTCTCCCGCTGTCTTTGTCTCTGACGCCCATTCCCGCATGGTTTCGCCAGCTCGCCTCTGGGAGCTCAGGGTGCTATGTCAACAGCTTGGATTACTTACTGCAGGAGAAGAGGTGAGCGGGGAGGGTCTTCATTTCTTTGAGGTTAACGGTAATATTACAGCATTCGTACTCAGACTCAGAGCAAATTCTTCCCAGGATAAAGCAGCCTACTCCCTCCCTGCCTCAGCGTGCCTCCCAAATGAGTGCCCCGTGTGCCCTGGTGAATAACCAGCGCTCGGAATGGTAGGGGGTCAGAGGACAGCATCTCCGGGGCAGAGAGTGCCGGACCGGACCGCGTACGGAGACCTCGCTGCTGGTCCTGTCTTCACCTGAGCACGCCTGCCTGATTCACGCCAGTCTGGGGCTCATTCAGCTCCCATGCAAGGGTTCGAGGGAAGTGGGGGGATAGACGGGCTTGACGCCGAGACGTGCAGCCTGACACTGGCTCTGACAGTGCCAGGGGATCAGGGGCACGGGTACGGAGCTGGCCTTTCCGCTCGCCCTGTCCCGGGCCAGCCCCTGAGCAGTTTCCCTGTAGTACTTGGTCTAGTTCAGCCACCCTCCCTCTGGGGCTACAGTGAGCCTGTCTCACGTAGAAGTAGGCTTCTTTTTTCCTTTCTTTTAAAAAAGGTTTGTTTAGTTGCGACTGTGCTGGGTCTTCACTGCTGCTCACGGGCTTTCTCTAGTTGAGGTGAGCAGGGGCTCCTCTCGTGTTTTGGTGAGCCAGCCTCTCACTGCGGTGGCCTCTCTTGTTGCAGAGCACGGGCCCCAGGGCACTCGGGCTTCAGGAGCTGGGGCTCCCGGGCTCCAGAGCGCAGGCTCAGTAGTTGTGGCACATGGGCTTAGTTGTCCTGCAGCATGTGGGGTCTTCCTGGGCCAGGGATCGAACCCGTGTGCCTGGCATTGGCAGGTGGATTCTTTATCACCGAACCGCCAGAGAAGCCTGAAGTTGATTTCTTAAAGCGAAAGTCACATGGGATCAGAACCGGAATCCCTTCGGAAGGCACAGAGGGTGGTGGAAACCAGTACGAGTGCTCTTTCTCCCCTGGGAAGCAGGTGACGTGGTCGGCTTGCACTGAGGTCCTGTCTGCAGTGAAGACACTAGAATCCCACTCCTCCATTGTCAGTGAGGACTGAGGTGGCCAGGGCACAGGTGGACTTCACCCTGGACCTGCGCTTTGTCTGACAGGAGCGCATTGTCCACAGGCTTATTGTCTGTGTCCTCTTTCCATCTCTCACGTTGTTTTTGCTCAGTGCCTGCACACTGCCTTTGTGGAAGGTACACGTAGAAACAGGCAGTGCTGTTGTCGGATGCTCAGGTTCTTATCGGAATAACATCTCACTGGCCTCTGTTTTTCCCAGTCCCGTGTTCTTGCCCCACTGGAGAGGGTTAAACACATGTGTGGCATGCATTATCGTATTTTCCCCTGGAAACTGAATGCAGTGATTCTAGTATTTCACAGCCCAGGTGGCGCTGGTGGTAAAGAATCTACCTGTCAATGCAGGAGACGCAAGAGACGCAGTTTCAATCCCTGGGTTGGGAAGATCTCCTGGAATAGGAAATGGCAACCCACCCCAGTATTCTTGCCTGGAGAATCCCATGGACAGAGGGGACCTCCAAGAGTCGGGACACAGCTGAGTGACTGAGCACACACACAGAGGGGGCCGGAAAAGGGGCACCTAACTCAGCCTGAAGGTTAGGACAGGATCCTCAGGGGGATCCTTGTCCTTGGACCGTGCAGGATTAGATTTGGGAGGGCAGTGGGAGCGACCACAGGTCTAAAGGCATGTAGGACAGATGATGCTGGGACTGGAACACTGTGTCAGAGTGTGGGGGCAGGCCAGAGCAGGAGCTGCAACCAAGATGTGAACCGGGGCCTTGTGAACACAAGGTCAAGTCACGGATGGATGTCAAGGTCAGGATGTATTTTCCCATGTGTTTAAGAGAGACTGCCCAGGCGGCACTGTGGAGAATGGACAGGAAGTGTGAGAGGGAGGAAGAGAGTGGTGGTAAGCTGGCTCTTGTGGGACCTGTTGCCCTGGGTGGCTGGGGCCTGTGTTGGGACAAGGAATTCAGAATTGGGCACCTGAGGTCCAAGGGCTGTCCACCTTCGGCTAGAAATCATCCAGCTAGCCAAGTCCAAGACGGCGGCTGGGCAGGAGACAAAACCTTTGAGAACCGAGGACCTGTGGGCAAAGCCAGGGTGAGCCCACAGCAGGCAGGACGATGGCTGGAGGGGTGGGGCGCCCAGGGCTCCCTCAGCAGCCAGAGGGAATGAGAACGCAGAAGGTCGAAGCTGGGGCTGATGCCCCTCGGGGTTTGTGTGTGGTCAGGGCAGAAGGTGAGGGAGCTGATTTCTGCTAAATAATGGTCAGCTCATAGGGCCTGCAGTGGGGTTGGTTGAAAGGGGAGGTGAGGCACTCAGGGCTACAGGAAGAAACAGACTGAGGGGCAAGCACGTGTAGGAGGGAAGGAGCAGGCCCTGGGGGGCTGCCACCTGGAGCTGGAGAGGCAGGCCCCGGGGAGCTGTGGGCACAGAGGCTGCTGCTGGTCAGGGAAGCTGGGCCCAGGAGGAGCAGAAGGGCAAGGCCTAGGCCCCAGTGTGGTGGTGTTCAGTTGCTCAGTCGTGTCCGACTCTTTGTGACCCAGTGGACCGTTGCACGCCAGGCCTCCCTGTCCATCACCAACTCCCAGAGTTCACCCAAACTCATGTCCACTGAGTCAGTGATGCCATCCAACCATCTCATCCTCTGCTGCCCCCTTCTCCTCCTGCCCTCAGTCTTTGCCAGCATCAGGGTCTTTTCCAGTGAGTNATATTCTTTACCACTAGTGCTACCTGAGAAGCCCCAGTAAGGAGATACTTTCAAAATTTTTATTTGTTTGTCTGAGCTGGGTCTTGGTTGTGACCCAGGGAACCTTTGATCTTCATTGAGGGATCTTTAGTTGTGGCATGTTGGATCTAATTCCCTGACAAGGGATTGAATCTGGACTCCCTGCTTTGGGAGCGCGGAGTTTTAGTCACTGGACCACCAGGGAAGTCCCTGGACCATTTCACCCAGCGGTTTGTGTGCTGTTGATGGGTTCTCAAGCTGCCTCCTTCTTGTAACCCCACATCTGTTCATTAATTTGAGAAATATTTATTCTCTCATTGTGTGTCAGGGTCTAGTGTGGGCCTTTGAGGACACACAGGCATAAAACATGGCCTGTTCTTCCCTGACTGTCTGCCCGAACTCGGACCAGATCTCAAGCCACAGTCTAAAAGAACACTGCTTTTGAATGAGAGAGTACAGTCACGTGACACCTTTGCCCTCCCCTGTGTGAGGAAGGGAAGTGGCTTCTGTCAGAGGTATCATCTGGGCTGGAATCTCCTGGCCTATTGGCTGGAGCCAGGGCAGGATTCCTCTGTACCATGGAGATGCCCGAGGACCACAGTTGCATCCATCTTCAGGGCACCCAGTCTTCCATTCATCCATTTGTCTGTCTGTCTTTCTCTGTTTGTCCATCTATCCAACAAGCATCTATTATGTGCCAACTTTGCATCAGGCTCTGTGGAGATAGTGAAGGACAGGGAAGCCTGGCGTGCTGCAGTCCATGGGGTCACAAAGAGTCAGACATGACTTAGAGACTGAACAACAAGCTGCAGACTCTGGGGTGTGACAGGAGCAGAGCCAGACCGAGGTCTTTGCCCACGTGCTGCTCGGGGTCAGGGCCGGAAANAGAGAGGAATCAGAGTGGACCCCCTGAATTGAGACCTGAGCAGATGGATGTCGGGATTGACTCTAATTGGGGAGGGCTGGTGACGCAGGCTGGGGGTGGTGGCAGGCACGGGAACAAGTGTTCACTTGTGGGACCCCTGGGGCGAGACCAAGACAAGGACCTCCTTGTCTGGAGAGGCCAGCTTGGGAATCACCATTTGTAGGTGACATTTAAAACCGCAAAACCAGATGAGATCACCAGGGAAGGTGGTGTCGAGAGACCGGCCAAGGGCGCAGCCTGCAGGTCACGGTGACCTTGACAGGAGCCTCCCGGGTGGGTGACCAGGGGTGAGCCTGCCTGGAGTAGGTTCAGAGAAGACGGAGAGGAGAGGGCAAGAGAGGAGACTGGGCGACAGCTGAGGGCGAAAGTGGAGCCAGAACAGATCCTTCTGTCTGTCTGCCTGCCTGCCTTCCTTTCCCTTCTTCCTTCCCGCCCTCCTCCTTCCCCTCCCTCCCTTGGGAACCGCGTGCCCCCACGTGACCCAGGGGCAGGCTGGTCCACACGTCCTGGACTGTCTGCCTGTCCAGGCTCCGCTTTCTCTGTGTCCGGGTGACGTCATTCAGGCCTGAGCTGGGCAGTCTGGTTGGAATGCCCACACTGAGTCAGCGTCCTGTGTCCACCCACACACACAGACTCCCCGGGGCCCCGTCTCTCAGGACCCCGTATGGTTCCCCCTCAGATGGGGGCTCAGCAGGTTGTCTGTAAAGCGTGTGAACTGTAAAGAGTTCCTTCCGGCTCTGAGGGCCTTTACAGCCTGCTTGGCTGTGCTGCTTGGTAGCAACGGCAAGCTTGCTTGTGTGGCAGCGAAAGCCTCGTTTATTGAAATGGGCAGGAGTTGGCCACTGCTGCTGACCCTTGGCCTGGATTAGGGACCTCTGCCTCCTAACTGGTGGCTCAGTGGTCCAGAATCCACCTCCAGTGCAGGAGAAGTGGGTTCGATCCTTGGGTTGGGAAGATCCCCTGGAGGAGGAAATGGCAACCCATGCCAGTATTCTTGCCTGGAGAATCCATAGACAGAGGAGCCTGGTGGGCTGCAGTCCACGGGGTCACAGAGAGTCAGACTAAAGAACTAAGCTGCAGCTGCCTGTAGTTGGTCCCTGTCTCCACACGCTGCCCAGAGGCAGGGAAAGGGTCCCTGACGGGCACACAGTGATTCTGGCACATGGAATCAGCAGGTTTGGGCCAGAGGCTTTGGTGGCATCATGAGTAATGAAGCAATTTTCTCTCTCTGTCAGGGCTGGGGATTTGCTTTCCAGGGTCCCCACTCACTGGACAGAGAGCCTTGGAAGTAAATGGTTTAAGACATCTCTGTAGCCTGGATAATCTCTCTAGCTCTTCCCCTTTCTCCCGAGTGCATCCAGGATTTTGGAAGTTGTGGCCTGGATGCTTTTAAAATTCCCCACAGAAAGGGAGTTAACCTGAGCAGCTGGTGTTCCAGGCTTTGGAATTGCTGATAGTCCTCTGGGCACGTGACCTTTTCAAGTAGTACTCTGAGACAGCCTCTGCTGACAACAGCCACTTTGAGGTGGTGGTTTTGATGTGCGATCATCTTGATGGGTCAGTTCGGTTCTCTGCTTCAAAGAAAATTACTCACTGATGTACAAAGCCCGGCAGCCTCTTCCATCCCTGAGTGGGGCCAGGGCTGGGTGGGAGGGGCCATGCAGGAGTACAGGTCCAGAGGGGGTGAGGCCCAGGCCGGGGGGCTGGCCCCCATCTGGCGGACAGGTCGCCTGTGACCAGGAGTCACGTAACCCCCACCCTTGCCTGGCAGAGAAAGGCCAGCAGTCATCCCGAGCCGATCAGCTGCTCCTGCTCCAAGGGTAGCCTGTGTCTTGAACAGACAACATCCTGCATTCTCTAGTCCTTAAAGTTAAAAGCCCTGTATGTGTGTGCCAGTGTCAGGGAGGGGAGGATATTTATACCACAGCATCATCCTTTATCCTCACTTCTGGGCTGCACAGGAAGTCCTCAATTAGAGTCATCTCAGAGCTCTTCATAATGCACATACATTGTATTTAATATCACAGAACTCCCTTTGAGCGATGGTTTGGGGTCATGAGCCGAGAGCTCTTTACAGATGAATCTGGTTCTTACAGACTTTTAATAATCTGTGCTTTTTCTAAAATTATGAAAGCAGCCTAGGAAGCCGTTGTTGTTCTGTCACTCGGTCATGTCCAACTCTTTTCGGACATAGGAAGCCGTAGAGACTCAAAAACTCAAACGGCTAGTAAATTAACAAAACATTTGTTATAGTGGTTTGCTGAGGCTGTTTCTGAAGTTTGTGAGATCAGAATCCACCCGGTTTTCCGATGGCATTCCCATCTGTTGTGCCGTTTCATCCTTAGGATGACCTTCCTTACGTTGGGTCACTTGGCCAGAGAGTGACAGGTTTCCTCTAGCAGTTGGTGGGCCCCCAGCTCAGCTTGTCCATCTCCGGCGCTGGCTGCTGGGTCCCAGAGACTCACAGGAGCCCCTGGCCGTGTCCCCTCCGTGTTTACTGTCTCAGGGCCCAGCTGGCAATCTGGGTACCGGCCTTCCTCTTATGAGAAGAATGGGTGCAGTGCCTGTGGCTTGCTTTATTTTGTTATTATTACTGTGGAGTGTATGTTATGTTAGTGCAGAATCAAGCCAAACACTGTTGTTTGAAGTAAACAGGAAATGTCTCCCCTTCCTTCCCCTCCCCCATCCTGTTCCCTCGGGATGACCCTGGACCATGGTTGGGTGTGTCAGATGTGTGCAGGCTGTTGTGTGTGTCTAAGAACATGTGTGCATGTCTGTTCACCTGCACCACACACACACACACACCCACTCTTGCTATTCTGTGGCTTGCTGTGTTCACCCACCGCATTCTGTATAAGGGAGACCCTTCCATCCTGCATGGCGCTGCAACTGGCCTCGTTCTGAGGAAAGCTCTGCACCTCCTCCCTTAGACACATCCCCGTAGAGCTGGAACATGTCCCCCCTTCTTCTGCCTGTTCCTTCCCTATCCGTGGGACCTCGCTCTGGTTCACTAAATGACTCTCTGAGCAGGGCGGGCCTGGCCCTCGGCATTTTGCAGGCTCACTAGGGAGTCCTCCTGCTCAGGAGGCCTTGAGGATGCTGCTCAGAGAAAGAGCCCTGGCCCCCTCATGGTGGTGCAGGGGCCCTCCCCAACCTGCCGCACGCACCCGGGGCTTGTCTCCCACACCTCTCCCAGTGCCGTGCGGCCGCTCTGGGGCTGGTCCACCTGCTGGAGGGCCTCGCTGTGATCGCTTTACACTGTCCTGGCCAAGCACAGGCAGCCCACGCCTACCTTGTGCTTGAGCACCTGGCACCTGCAGTCGTGGCACGCAGTGGGCCTTGGAGCAGAGCCCACGAGTGGGGCAGGATTTGGGGTCAGGACTTTCGGCTCCTGCACTGAGGCCCTGAGAGAGGGGTTGGGGTCCAGCAGGGGGTTGGGGAGGAGAGAGCTCCTTTGTCTGCACGTGGCAGGCTCTCCCTCCGTCAGCAGGTGGCGCTGTGCCCCCGGTCTGGTTCCCACACGGCGGGGGCTGCGGGGCGGGGGCAGCCATCTGGCCTTCCCTGGCCTCCCTCCAGACTGCAGACAAGGTGCGCCTGCTGATGCCCGGCTCTTTCCTGCCCCTTGATTTGCCAGGAAGCTGGTGGAGAGGTTCTCCGTGCCCCTGCAGGTCATCCCAGCAGTGCATCCGGGCGAGACCGTGTTTCTCCCCAGGCGCCACCCCGTGCCCTGCCTCCTGGACAGTTCACAGCTGAAGCCACGGAGCCCCCTGGAAAAGCTGTTCCTCAGGTAAACATCCGTGCGACTTGACCAGGCCCCTCCCTCGAGGAACCCAGTGGTGAGGGCCACCCCAGAGGAGGCCGTCGGAAGCTGTGTTTTGCCGGTGTGGGTATGTCAGCCTTTAGAGAAACACGCAGGACACACGTGTTTGCTTGTGGTGTTGTCTCCACTAACTTGGATGTATATCCTTTACAGAGTCTTACACTGTAGCAGATATTTGACATCTGTCATGTGCTGCTTTTTCCTCCCCATGGCCCCGTCGCCTGGTCAGACTCATCACACGTGCCTTCGGGGTTATGTCTGTCAGCACTGGGGCCACTTTCCTGGCTGTCCAGCAGTTTCCCAGAGCCCTTCTCTCTTCCTCCTGGAAAGTTTGTCCCTGGCCACAAGTACAACTCAGCATAACATCAGGACAGCTGCCCTGATCCTCTTCTTGGTGGGACTTGTTCACAGTCATTATCACATAACCCCTGACTATGTTTGATTTTTTTAGGGGATTTTTGAAAACTTTACCTCAATAACATGCAACTCTTGTGATTGTGAGTTCACATGTCTAAGGATAACAGCGAGAAAGCCTGCAGGATTGAGCCCGTCAGCCCTCCACTGCGGGCTGGCGCCCTGCTGTGCCCCGGCCACTTGGGAGATGAAGGTGAGACCACCTGACCGCTCCCCACCAGCCCATAAGGCACGTGGAGGTTAAGGACACATTAGGACTAGAACACAAGAACCTTGTTCTCTTTTCCGGCTAGCCCATCTTATTTTATAACAGAAAAATAACGGTGCTTTGATGTGTTTCCTTTAAAGCTTTTTACCATGGAAAGTTTCAAACACACATAGAAGTAAAGGGTACCTATGTGTACCTACCAGTCAGCACCCGTTACTGACTCGGAGCTGGTCTTGCTGCTTCTGTATACCTACCCACTCACACTGTCCCCTCAAGATCAATTTTAAGCAAGTCCCAGACACATAGAATTTAATTCTTTAAGTCCTTCAATCTGGGTTTCTAAAATACTATCTTTAGACATAACTTCAATACATTATTATGCTTAAAGAATATAGGCATGTCTTAATATCATAAATATTGGTCAGCATTCAGATTTCTGTGATTGCTTCTAAGTGGCTTTTTTTAATACATTGTTGAAATAAGAATCTAAATATAAGGCTCAAATGTTGCAATTAGACCAAGTAATGTTGAGATTATACCTCACATGTCATTGATGCCTAACATATTTAACCGTTTTCTTCATTTTTCTCGACATGCAGGTGGTTTCCAACTTCCCCCCATAGTAAACAGTGTGGTGGAGAGTGTCCTTATACAAAAACATTTGTCAGCAGTCCTGGAATAGATCTCTGGATGTGATGTGAGATGACTGGGTCTTAGGGTATGAACACTGGTAAAATTTCCCATTGCCAAATTGAAAATATATCTAGGGACTTCCCTGGTGGTCCAGTGGCTAAGACTCCAAGCTCAATGCAGGAGGCCCTGGGTTTGTTCCCCGGTCAGGGAGCTGGATCCCACGTATTGCAACTAAAGATCCTGCATGCCACAACTAAAGCCTAGGGCAGCCAAATAAATAAACATTTTTTAAAAAGCTAATATATCTCATAAAGAGATGATGAAAAGGGGGCAGGGGAAGAAATGAAGGGAATGACGACAGATAATGGAGGCACAGGGACAGAGAAGCGGCTGGACCGGGAGGACATAACAGGGGAGAGGCAGGTGGCTTCCTGAGCTGTTTCTCCTCGGGATTTGGGGCCGACAGCAGGTGTTCTGTCCCGGGCTGGATTGCGGGCAGAAAGTGTTTGACAGAGGAGATGGCCTGTGGCTTGGTGGCCTGGGATCAGAGCAGCTGTGCCAAATGGGGCTAGGTGGCCGGCCAGCTTCCTGGAGCGGAGAGTCCAGACCCTCCTCCCTCAAGTTTGCTAACGAAGCAGAGCGGAGATGGGGCCTGGGGCCAGGAATGTCCGTGCCCTGCCCGAGGCCAGGTCAGGGGACGCCTGCCAGGCGCTGGGGAAGGGCCACTTCCTGAGGGTCGCCCTTTAGCCTGTGGGTCATCCTTTATTTCCTGTTTGTGCCAAAGACCTCAAGTCAAGACAGAGAGTGGGAATTACTAGCCGTTCAATAATTAGTGCGCTGTGGGCAGCCGGAAATGCAAGGACAGAGGGAGAGGAAAAGGTTACTGCATCTCTCAAAGAGCAGTGTGGTTCAGTTTCTCACCTTTCAGAAAGTGAATCTCACTTTGTGAGATTTCAGGTGACTTCCAGTCTCCTCATTAGACTCCTGTATTTTTACACTTTGTGTAATCATTAGTGGTTTGGGGGGAGAATGAATAGTTTTAAAAAATCACTTCTTGGGCTTGCATGGTGGCTCAGTGGTAAAGAATCTGCCTAGCAATGCAGGGGATGCAGGTCCAATCCCTGGAAGTTCCCCTGGAGAAGGAAGTGGCTACCCACTCCAGTGTTCTCGCCTGGGAAATCCCATGGACAGAGAGGCCTAATGGGCTAGAGTCCATGGGGTTGCAAAGAGTCGGACACAACGCTGAACGAACGAAAAGTATACAAAAGTGAAAAATCACCTCTTGAAGTAGATTCACCTCTGCTTGCTGTCTGGTGAAGAGGGATGTTATCTTTCCACTGTACAAAGTGGGAAATGTTGGCACAGATTAAGCCAGCAGTTCATCTCAGAGCAAGAGCAGGCAGTCTCGGTGTCTGACCCAGGCTGGTCCTCCCGGGTTGGACCTACACAGGTTTACATGCGCCTCTCTTGCCTGAGTAGAGGAGTACGTCAAGGCTGTATATTGTCACCCTGCTTATTTAACGTATATGCAGAGCACATCATGAGAAACGCTGGGCTGGAACATCCTAAAGGAGATCAGTCCTGGGTGTTCATTGGAAGGACAGATGTTGAAGCTGAAACTCCAATACTTTGGCCACCTGATTTGAAGAGTTGACTCATTGGAAAAGGCCCTGATGCTGGGAAAGATTGAGGGCAGGAGAAGAAGGGGACAACAGAGGATGAGATGGTTGGATGGCATCACCGACTCAATGGAAATGAGTTTGGGTGAACTCCTGGAGCTGATGATGGACAGGGAGGCCTGGCGTGCTGCTGCGGGTCATGCGGTCGCAAAGGGTCAGATATGACTGAGCAACTGAACTGAACTGAACTGAACTCCTCCCTGAACTGCAGCTATAGGACCAGAGGTGGCCTGGACCATCCTCTCTCATTTGTCACCCTGCTGGACGTGTGACCTCAGGTCGCTTCCCTGGGACCAAAGTCACATGCTGCTGTGACAGAAGCTGGTACAGGGCGGGGGAGGGGGGGAGGGGAGGAGGTGGGGGCTGAATTCTTTCCTCCTCCCCTGACAGCAGTTCAGCGGGAAATCCAAGCCTCGTGACAGGGCCTATGCCCCAGGGCAGCTCTTAAGACAGGAACCAGGGCCTTGGGGGTGGAGCTTGCCCTCCAAAGCACCCTGGGTCCTCCTTGTTCCCCACCCTCCCCCGAGTGTGTGTGGGGGTGTCAGGACCCACCTTTGTCCTCTGGTGCACCTGCCGTTTGCGGTTTGTTCTCAGGACGCCGGAGACACCAGTGGGGGGTCTTCTTTGGCAATGGCTTCAGCAGGCGGGGGCAGGATGGGTCCGAGTTCAGTGGTGTAAATGGTGCTCAGGCATCAGACCTCCCTGAGGCCCAGGCCCCAGCTCCTGTTTTGCCAAGACCTCCTCCTCCTCTTCCTGGCAGGCAGGGGAAGACCGGGTGAAATAAATCCAGGAGCAGGGGCAGCATTCAGCCGCCCCGCTGCCTGCGCCTGCCCCCCTAATCCAGAGCAAGTGGGCGTGGCCCTTCAGGCAGTTGCTGGGATCCCTGGGCTTTGGACCAGAGTGGCTCTCATTGACTTTTTTTTTTAAGCAGTCTTTTTTTTTTTTTAAGCTTTTTTACAAAATTATGTATTTATGTTTGGCTGTGCTGGGTCTTTGCTGCCGCACTCAGGCTTTCTCCAGTGGCTGTGCTCAGGCTCTGTCTGCAGCAGTCTCTCCTGCTGGGGAGCACGGGGCTCTTGGGCTCTCGGACTCAGCAGTTAACGGTGCCTGGGCTTAGTTGCTCCGTGGCACACGGCATCTTCTGGATCAGAGATCGAATCCGTGTCCCCACATTGGCAGGTGGATTTTTAACCATTGGACCACTAGGGAAGCCCTCTGCTCACTGATTTTTAAACAAAGGAAGGAAAAAGAAGAGCACTGGGACCATTACTGGTGGCTGTTCTCCCTCAGCATTTCACTTAAGCTTTCATCTTAGTAGCCTGGCAAAGGCGCAGAAGCTGATACCCTATAAATAACGACACTCGGTGTTTATCCTTCTGCCATCACTTGGGATTCCCGAGGCATTTAGAGACTTTGCCCCCTGGGACTGCTGCCTGTAAACTAGACGAGAGATGGGGGGCTGGGAGAGCCTGACTTGGGCCTTATCAGGAACACACAGTCCAAGCAGAAGATCAGAGTTCTGCCAGGAGCCCAGCATGCTGACTGAGGCTGGGGCCTTTGTTCTGTGTGATTCCCCCTTCTTGCTGATCCCCCCACCCTGTACCCTGTCTTCGTTGCTTCTTTTCCCATTGCCCCGTGTCCTTGCCACCACGGCTAGGGGTTAGCGCACTCTGACCATGGCCTCTCCTCGTTGGGGTGGGGACCTCCCCTCCCTGGATCATCAGGACTGGCAGCTGCGACTTCACGCCCAGCTGGGCCTTAGCGGCATCTGCCTCCAAGAGGAGGCTCTGCTCCTCCCTGCTCGCCCCGTGGCATTCTGACATTCTCAGGATAACTTCCAACCTTGGTGCTGGCTGTGCCACAGGCACGGGCACCTGCTCGGACCCAGTGTCAGCATTCTCAGTTTGTGAACCTGCCAGGGATTTTTATAAATCTAACCTCAGTGGATTCCGTAACCCGCTCACCTCTCCCCTCCCCCCACCGCAGGGCCTCCTTACTTGCAGACTGTCCTCCTCCCTCAGATCAGGATGGTCTCTGCCTGCCAGGCCCCTCCCTGCGCTTCCACCAACCAGGAGGTCCCTCCTGCCATCTCTCTGTCCTTCCCCTGAAGGGCGGCAGGGCTCGCGGTCCAGCCGAGCCAAGGCAGCAGTGCCCTTTCCCCGAGCACACTCACAGGAGATTCCTTGCATCTCATCTAGCTGAATTCTTCGACAGCCACTCGCTTGCAGGCCTAGCTGGACCATGCCCTTTGCTGCCTCTCTCTGACCCCTTGTCCTACACACCAAGCCTAACTCCGCAGCAGTGAACCCTGAGGCAGACCGATCCTTCCTCTGGCAGAAACAACACTGCCAAGTGTGCGGCAGAAGGGAGACATCGTCAACCGAGAGGCGTCTCTCCCTCTGAGCAGCAGTTGGAAATGTGTTGATCTGAGCTGACAGGGGCTTGTAGAATCCATTCCCCTACAGAGAAGCTGGCGGGTGCCCCCTGAGCAGAATGCCAGAGCCAGCGTCTTCTTAGAGTCCCTGGAGCGCCGGCCTCCTTCCACGTGGCCCCCGGCCAGGCCCTGCCAATCTGTGAGGTCCTCCAGACATGGCTGGCTTGGCTATTGTGTGCATTTGGGGGGCTGTGCATGAACCACACAGGCATCGCCGGGGTCAGCCCCTGAACGTGGCTGTGTGACTGAGCACGTGGGGCAGAAGTGGCGTGTGCCAGCAGCCCTGGGGTACACACGTGTTTGTATGTACAAATAAAGGTCTGTTTTAGAACGGTCAGCTTGACAAACAGGAACAAAGCTGCTTTCTCCTCTGAACTTAAATGATTTGGTGCCGGGCGGGGTGGGGGGGGGTGGAGAAAAAGTACACAATTTGTAAATTGCCTGGATATACTCAAAGAGACAGCAACTTGGCTTGGAGGAGCATCTTTGTTTTGGAGCATTCTGTTCCTGGCAGATTAAAATATGATGTCCTTTTTAAAAAGGAGGAGGAGGAGGGTGAGCCGACCGAAGAAATTTCTATCTAGAGTCATGACTTCAAATGCCATCCGAAATGTTCTTCGCCTGGATTTGGTTGTTAGCAGAATGGACATGAAGTTAACGGTTTCATTTATCTGGAATCCTTATTAGTTGCCTTTAGGACATAATCTGGAAAGAGAGCAAAGAGGCGTTCACTAGACTCAGAGAGAGTATTAGGTTGCTGTTTTTCAGCCTCTAAGTCGTGTCGGACTCTGTGACTCCATGGACTTCAGCATGCCAGTCTTCCCTGTTCTCCAGGGAGAATCCTACCCCAAACCCAACTTCCCCAGAATGCCAGGAGCACAGGACGAGGGTGAAGTCCAGCACCTCCCACCAGAGGCCCTGAAATCACACGAAATACATCAACTCCTCGTTGTCCAGGGATCTAGGGTCCCATGGGTCCAGATGATCTCCTAGGATGACAGCTCAAAGGAGGGCTCCTCCCCACGCCAGCAGCTCAGGGCAGAAGGGTGAGGCCTGACAGCTCGCCATGCAGTCATGGCCCCAGAAGCCTGGGGGTCCCCCCCCTCTCCCCGGTCAGGACCCCTTGCTGTTCGTGTGGTTTCCCGAGACTCCTCTGCCACCCTCAGTTATTTCCTTCCCCAGATTTCCCTATCCTGGGCCCCCGTCTGTTCTTTTCCCGTCTTCTCAGGTGTCCCCTTTGTTTTGGAAAAACAGAAGATGGGGCAGACATGCTCTGTGTAACCAGACCCAGACGCCGGCCCCACGCCGCCTGGCGGGTAATCCTGTCCCCCGGCTGCAGCCGGGCTAAGAGGCGAGGCTTCCGGGCATGCTCCTCATCACAACCCAGACCCTTCTCAAAACTGGTCAGCACCTCAGTTTCCCCCTCCATCATGCTGGAAAAACAAACTGTGCTCCCCAGTCCTCTGTGTAAAACACTGAGAGGGGAGATTCTCTGGCACTCCAGTGGTTAGGACTCAGCACTTCCACTGCTGGGCACCCGGGCTCTAGCCCTGGCGGGGAGATGAAGATGCTGCAAGCCTGGCAGGGCAAGGCCAAAAAAAAAAAAAGCAAACGACGTTATGAGATGTGTTCGTGGACAGCAGATGATTCTGAATGGCGCAGTGGGTTGTTTTCTGTTCCAGCAGCTGCCTGCACTGAGCGTCTTTGTCCAGAGCGGTGACCGCTTCTAGTCCCAGGGAAGCTGAAATCCGGACGCCCCCGCTCAGCCTCACTGAGAGGGTCACAGAGGCGGGTCGCCTCTCTGACCTCCCCCCTCTGTCCTTCTGCCCCCGTAGCTCCTCGCCGGCCCGGCAGCTCACCTTCCTGCGCCAGGGTCTCCTGAACAGCATCTACCTGCCGGTGGGCGACCGCCCCAAGCCCCTGCTCCGGTGGCTGTTACAGGTGAGGACCGCGGCTGCCGCTAGGTGGCGGGAACGAGCCGGCCCAACACCAGGGGAAGGGCCGCTCCCCGGGGTGGGGGGGGGACCTGGGGGGGGCTGGGCCCCTGGGCCCCCATCCTCCTCCTGCCCTTGGGGGCTGCTGGGTTGGTCCTCGCTGAGGCTGGAGGAAGGAGGGAGACTTGCGATGATGGAGTCAGGAAGGTGCAGGCCCTGGCCTGTAGCCTCACGCCGGGACCCTCCAGAGCGTGTGCCTTGCAGGGTGTTGCCTCTCTGTGATTCCCACTCACCAGGTGCTCTCATTGTGTGCAGGCTGTTCAGGTCCCAGGTCTGGGCCCTCGTCCCACAGGCAGCGGCATTGCCGGTGTGAGGGCCATCCTGGATCTGGAGCTGGGGTGCTCGCTGTGGAGTTGTGGGTCTGCTGGAAAAGCCTGGAACAGCTGCTCTGTCTTCCCCTCCCTTCCTTTCTGGTCACTGCCAGAACATTTTGCCCTGGCGGAACATGCTTTCTGCCCTAGGCTTGGAACCTCCACACGGAGAAAGATAGTGAGGAGTGGCCAGCAGGGAAAGCCTTGGCACCAGCTGCTGGGATCTGAACGCAGGGCACGGGGATGAGGCCTTGGCCCCCACTCCGGACCATCTCTGCCGGGGACAGCAGGTCCCAAGCTTCAGCTGGTCTCATTCCTGCCAGTTGAAGCCTGGACCCCAGCTGTAAATTAGAGCCACCATGCGGGGCAGATCGTTCTTGGGACTCCTCGGCCTCGGCAGACTGGCTGCCTTCCAGAAACAGCCCTCCAGCTCTCTCTCCTTCCCACTGGGGTCCTTCCCCATTGCCCCTCCCTGCCGCTGCCCCAGGCCCCGGGCGACACAGGGGACACAATGGCCATTCTCCCCTGTCCTGTCAGTGCGGCTTCTCTGTCCTTGCACAGCACACGACAGACACGGAGCCAGTCTGCGACGCCGGCCACAGAGTGTCCTTGTGTGACCCTGGCACTGCATGGAGGCGTGCCCGAGCCCCACCTCGTCCCTGCCCCAGCCTCTGTTGCCTGTGGGGGGAGGGGTGCGGCAGCTGAGGACCCCCAGCCCTGCTTCTCCACCCGGTACTGTGTGACGTGGGCCATCATTTAACAGCGGCTCTGTGTCTCCATCTCTCCCTCCGTAAGCTGGGCTCAGCAGTCCCGCGTGAAGGTCAAGGGGGGAAATCCCATGGCCTGCTGCTCTGCCCAGGACCTGAACACCATCGGGAAGGAATGGTGTCAACCCAGAGGTCAGGCTCTCCATCCTCAGGAAAGAGAAACAAAAGCTGAAGTCGGATCCATGCAAAGGGTGCACCTGGCCTTGGGGACGTCTTCTCGGGGAGACCCTGCCCAACATCTCTGTCTCTGGAGGGAAAGAAGGAGCAGGGCGCTGCCATCTGCCCCTCACGTGACCACCCTGCAGGCCTCAGGATGGGCTCTGATGCTTCACTTCAGAGGTTTAGGTTCTCTTGCCGCTTGGAACATCCCCATGGGCAGAGGAACCTGGCGGGCTACAGTCCATAGGGTCACAAAGAGTCGGACGCGACTGAGTGATTGACATGCACACACATCCCAGGTAGACATGGCTCCTATACTTCACGCTGTTGGGGAGGACTCCAGAGAGGCGCACATCCATGGGGGATCCCTGAAGGTGCTGGGGGCCTCCTGTGAAGCTGCAAGGGTGGTTCGTGGGATCCAAGGGCAAGGATAGTGCTGGGCCTCACAGGGCCTGGAATCACACTGAAGACAGGTCAGAACCCTAGGACAGACTTCGGCTTCTCTCTATGCCCAAACAAACCCTCAGGAAGAAGAGTCTTAATTGGCCTATGAGGGGTTAAGGGAACACCCCCAAGAAAAGGCAGCTAAGGGAGCAGGGCCACAGGGCTGCTGGGGGCCCGCACACATACCTGGGATTAATGCTAGAGACAAGGGTTGGGGGTTAGACATCTCCAACCCTGTTCCCTCAACTACATCTCCGGAAGGGCCATCCTGAGTCCCCATGGGAACCAGTCCTGCTGCCTGCCAGCCTCCCTACTCCTGGGGCTTCGGCAGGGTGAACAGTGGACACTGGGGGGGTAGGCTTCAGCCTTGCGTGCATGCTCAGTCACTTCAGTCATGTCCGACTCTTTGCGCCCCTATGGACTGTAGCCCACCAAGCTCCTCTGTCCATGGGATTCTCCAGGCAAGAACACTGGAGTGCCATCCTCCAGGGGAACCTTCCCAACCCAGGAATTGAACCCGGGTCTCCTGCACTGCAGGTGGATTCTTTCCCAATTGAGCCACGTGGGAAGCTCAGGCTTCAGTGTTAGTGCTCATCAATTATGTAAGCTAGTCCTCGGAGTTCTAGAGTAGACTTCCCAGGTGAGCCTTGGAGGCCAAAGCCTGGAAGCATATGCTGTCGCTGAATTCATGTTCTTGTTGGGGAGTGATCATATGTTTAGCTATGAAGAAGTTAGAGGAAGCGGGAGGCAGAGTTCTGGTGTCTTAGATCTCGTGGAAGCAGACAGTTTTGCCTGTGAGGGAAGGAGGCAGCAGGTGGGGGCAGAGAGGGAAGCCGAGGAGCAAAACTAATGCAAGGGAGGTCCCAGCTGGTCCTGGGCAGTGGGGCAACGGCCCTGGAATGGGGATTACTCTTTAGTTGTCCCAGTTGCGGCAAGGGTCCTGGCCTTGGAGCCCCTGCGTTGGCTGCCCTGGCTGCCCTGGCGGGGGTGGGGGGGTGTGACCTTCAGTGATTTGAGTGGGGGACTCTCCTTAGACTCAGCTCAGGGCCCTCGGTCAGCAGTGCCTCCCAGCCCTTGAGGGTGGGAGCCCTAGTCCTGAAGGTCTCTGCAGAGTCAGAGGTCACCCATGCCTGTGAGATAAGGCACTGACCTGGAAGCCATGTGAGGCTCACGAAGAGGAGCCAACTTCACCTTGTCCAGCTTACTGTAGTTAATGCTTCTGAGCTCTTCCCTACGCGGTTGCCTACCCTGAGGGGCGTGGCTGGGGCCTCAGTGAGTGAGCGGCAAAAGGAACAAGACTCCCACGCAGGGAGGTGGCTGGAGCAGGAGCTGTCAGGTCACCTAGACCTGGGGTTGGATCCTGGCTTTGCTCCTTACTTGCTGTGACCCTGGGGCAGTCGCTTGAGCTCTCTGAGCTTAGTTTCATCATCTGCAAAGTGGCAGTAATGACAGCATCCTTCTATCATGTGCATTTGTGAGGATTAAATGGGACTTGTTTAATATGATGTAATAAAGGTTTACTACTGTTACTCCATAGTGATGACCCAACTAATTTGTTTTTTTTTTTTCCTCCTCTTAGCTGCTGACATGGCCTCCAGAAACTTCTTCAAGAGCCTTTGCTCTCCTGTGGGACCTCAGCCTGGACGGACTCTTTCGTCAGTCCGGTTAGTACCTGACGGAAGTGCAGGGTGGCAGCTTGCACTCTGGGCGCCCAAGCTGGCAGCCCCACCCAGTGCTCAGCACTCAGCGCCCACCCCGACTCCGCCCCCAGTCCAGCCTACAGGCAGGTGCTGGTGGGGGTGTTGCATCACTGGGGGACATGTAGACAGCAGGCCTGCTCGGTCTCTGGCTCCAGCATTAGGAAAAAGCTGAGCCAACAGGCTTCTTGCCACCTTATCTGGCCTCAGAATCACGTCACAGGGGCCAAGTCCAGGCTGACTTCACAACCTTAGGATCCCAGAACAGTCTGGAAGGGGGGTTCTCTGGATTTATGGGGACAGCTGGCCTCCAGTTTCTTACTGAGAGCGCCAGTTTGCTTGGGAGGGTTGCAGGAGCCTCTGCATTGAATCAGGGAAGCTCTCTGAGTTGGAGTCACCAAGGTGGGGGTGGTTCCTGAAGCTGAGCCCCCAGCAGCAGCCCTCCTCAGTTACCAGGGCATTGGCGGAGCCCCGAAGTTTGGACCGGACTGGGGGGAGAGCCTTGAGTCTGTACCTCCGTCCTGACATGTAAGGAGTACACTTAGTCGTTTTTATACTTCTAAGATGTTCAGAGTTGCACAGACACAATTAATTTCCCCTTTAGTGACTGCACCTTTCCCAGCCTGTCATCATTTGGTGCCTGAACCTAGACAGTTTGGCACCAAAAAATATCATGTAACCTATTGAAAGTTGCCTACGACAGACAGAGGGAGGGACCCACAGGTGTCCAGACTGCGCCCTTGCCCACCAGCTGCAGTCCACCCACACTCCCACTAAAACATGGGAGCAGTGAGCTCTGAAGACCAAGGTAATAGACCCACGATGTGCCATTAACCACCCCCCACCCCACCCCACCCCCAGCGGCCACCAGCCCCTTGGATTTCTGCCTCTGTGCCTCCCCTCCTGGAGGAGTTGGCTGAGCTGGGGGCCATCTGTCAGATGAGAGCATTCCAGACTCCTCCGGCTCCCCCCTCCCCCACGCCCCACCCCCATGCCTGGGACCCCTCTCACTGAGGCCCTCTGAATAGCGCCAGTCTCAGCTTCCTCTGCCTTTACATAACCTCTGCCCCTGCAGTCCCGGCTGCCCTTTTGCGCCCCTGGGGCCGCCCCTGTGGCTGGCCTGCCCTTTTGGGGAACAGAGGCCTCCCTTGTCCCATTCTTCCTCCTCCGTGCAGTGGCATGTGTCCCCTCGGAGACACGGAGGCAGAGGGGGCGTCCCATTCCTCTCTGTTGCTTGGCCACATTGTCCCTGATTCGCCCTCGTCGGGAGGGGGTGGGGCCAAGATGGCTTTCTTGGTCCCAGTCTCAGCTCAGCTTGGAGGCCCCCTCCACTGCAGAGCAGCTCTCCTGGCATCATGTGTGGGGGTGGGGTGGGGGATGTCTTTTTCCCTCCCCTTGGAATAGAGACTGGCCCCCAGAATGCCATGCCCAAGGTCAAGATCTTGACTGATTTGGGCAAAGGTCTGATTCACAAAAGAACTGAAAACAGGGACTGGAGTAGATATCAGTATCCCCGCCACCCCCTCCTCCCCGACCGTGTTCACAGCGGCGAACTCTCCAGGTGGCGCTAGTGGTAAAGAACCCACCTGCCGATGCCAGAGACAGGAGAGAGACAGGTTTGAACCCTGGGTCAAGAAGATCCCCTGGAGAAGGGCATGGCAACTTACTCCAGTATTCTTGCCTGGAGAATCCCTTGGACAGAGGGGCCTGGTGGGCTACAGTCCTTGGGGTTGCAAAGAATTGGACACGACTGAGGTGACTAAGCACGCACACACACACACACGTTCACAGCAGCATTACTCACTACAGCCCAGCGGAGGAAGTGACCCAAATCCCAAACGTCCACATGCATGGATAAGCAAAATGTGGCCTATGCATGCAGCAGAGTATTAATCAGCCTTAAAAAGGAAGGAGATTCTGTCACATGCTACGACATGGATGACCCTGGAGGACATTATGCCAAGTGAAATAAACCAGTCACACACAAAAGAACAAATATTGTAGGATTTCTCTGATGTGAAGTACCTAGAGTAGTCAAATTCATAGAGACAGAAAATGGAATAGTGGTTGCCAGGGCCTGGGAGAGGGAGAATGCAAGGGTTAGTGTTTCCTGGGTATGGAATTTCAGTTTGGGAGGATGAGAAAGTTCTGCAAATGGGTAGTGATGAAGGTTGCAGAACAATGTGAATGTACTTAACACTATTGAACTGTGCACTTGAGAATGCCTAAGATGGTCATTTTTTAGTTACCTGTTTTTTACATAATTTTGAAAAACAAAAGGCCAATTACAGAGTCAAGAGTCAGGTGCCAGGAGAGAATCTACCAAGAGCTGGAACTGAAAATCAGCTGCTAGTTCAGGAAGCATTGTACGGTTAAGTTAGACCCAGGCTCGATGCAAAAGGAAGTTGTGCTTCTCAAAGTTGTCAGCACCTTGAGGTGCTCTGAGTGTCCTTGTCCCCTGTGGGGGTGCTGCCCTCTGGGGTCTTTGGATCTGTGATGGGGATGTGAGCCTTCAAGTTGCCTAGCCTTTCTCTTACAAAGCAGAGGGGATTTGTATGTGTGTAAAGTTCCATTTCTTCCTGGAATTTGTGGTTGACCAGAAGTTCTCCCCAGATTACCCTGGGAAAAGTCTTACACAATTGCCTTCATCCCCACATGCTTCCTGAGTAAGGGACAAGTCCGGGCCTCTGGCAGGAGCTGGGATCCAGGCTTCAGAGGTGACTGTCATGGGCGTGCCCCAGGTGACTAGGGCTGAGGGCTGAGAGCCCAGATTCGCTAGAGGGTTGGAATAAGGTGGAATCGTCTTCCTAGATTGAGAAGTAACACACATCACCTGATGAACTTGGAGAGTGGGATATTCTGGAACACCGACATTCTCAGTGGTAGGAGTGTTTATTCATTTATTCAGCACACAGACCTTGAGTGCTTCCCATATATATTCAGGGACTTCACCAGAGAGCAGGAGATACAGGGATGAATAAGGCGTGGTTCCCGCCCTCAGAGGGCTGACAGTCAAGTGGGGGGTTAAATGTCCAGTTACGATAGGAGGCAGAAGGAGGGAGAGGTTGCACTGTGGGGACGTTACTTCCAGCTGAATGGGGTTGGGGTGGAGGAGGTGGGAACCGGGAAGTGCTTTGTGGCAGAGGGAGCAGTTGATGGATCCACCTCTCAGCAGGTGTGTCGGGCAGGGGCTGCAGACTGCTGCAGCGGGGACCAAGTCAGATCAGTAACTAGAGAGCTCCTGCCCTCTCTAAAGAGGCTGGCAGGGACCGTGTTGCCAAATCTCTCCATTTTCAAGAGAAGCTGTGTCTTAGTTGGGATGTGCTCAGACTAAGTAACAGGTGTCCAGTTAAGAGCAGTTTATCATCTCACATGACAGGAAACCCAGACACAGGTTGTTCCATAGTATGTTCAGCAGATTTTTACTCTCAGGGCTCTGGCTTAGCTTGTGTCCCGCTTCCCACCACTCCCCGTCAAAGTTGCAAAATGACTGCTTTGCTCCAAGCATCATCATGTTCTCACAAGACAGCAGTATTCAAGGCAGAAAGTACAGGGTGATAAGAGGTCATTGCTTCTTGTACTTTTTCTCTCTTTTTGTCAGGACATCCTTTCCATTTTGTTTCATTACACAGAACTGGATCACAGGCTTTAGAGGACCCTTATCCTGTATTCTAGCTACCCTTTGAACATGGACTAGGTCTGAAGAATTTTCAACTTCATGAATCCTGCACCTCCAGGGTAGAGTAAAGCAGATTCATTTTTTTCCAACCTCCTTGCAAATATTTGGATTTTTAGTTTTGGGATTTCCATTTAGTTCTTTATTGTTTCTTTTTTGATAGTTTCTGTTTCTTTACTGGGATTTCTTATTTGTTCACTCAATATAAGCGTATTTTCATTTACCACCTTGAGCATACTTCTAACAGCTGCTTTAAAATCTTTGCAATTCTGACAGCTGAAGCATCTAATTCATTACATGGAAAATTAAATATGGAAGTGAGTGTTTACTGAGAATGAGTCAAGAAATTGTACTGGATAAATACTAAATCCTGGGAGTCTCAGGTCCTTTTGCACTCAATCTCTTTATAGGATATTTTTCAGAACTGTTCATGTTCTCCTGCTGTCTGCAGCTCGGCTTCCCTGCCTAACCTAGAACACTCACCGGGCCATGTAGGTGAGGTGTCCTGGAGCTTAAGCTTCATGAACTTTAAGGTCAGTTAGTTTCTGACATATAATAAAACTGTTCTCTGCTAATACAGCCAGAGCCTGTTGCTGTTGCTGTGACTCAGAGCTCCAGTAGCCACCCTTAGCCATTATCTACAAAGATAAATGGCATGACATAGTTCCTCTGCTGGGGGGTGGACCCACTTTCCCTGAGCAGACACAAGGTGAAACCAGAGTTCCCTTTCTAGGGACGAAGGGAAGCCTGGCACCTAGATTGACCGCCAACAGAATCTGTTGTAGCCAGAACACGCGTGTTTATGTGCAGTCTCCTGCTGGTAACAAATTCAGTTAAAAAACAAAACCCAGATAACCCCCACTGTGAGCCCATCTGCAGACTATATTCGACTGAAGGTGGAACATAGTTCTACTATTTGCAGCCCTGGGCATAGCCCTGGCTGTGGAGAGATGCAGGGCAAGCTGGGAGCAGCAGGCATGAAGACGAGGAAGTAGGGAGAGTGGGCTGACTAGGAGAGAAGACTGGATGTTTGGGGCCATCTCTTGGAGGACAGTGGGGGCCGTTGCAGGCATCGTGAAGCTTTATTAACATTTGGCAAGACCAGGACAGATGGTTGTTGCCATTGTTGTTATTTAGATACAATTCATGTGCCATATAATTCACCCTTTTAAAGTGTATGATTCAGTATGATTCAGAGTTGTTCAACTACCACCACTGTCTAATTCCAGAACATTTCCTTCACCCCCCAGAAGAATCCTCTTACATCAGCAGTCCCCTCCCACTCCCCTGG